ATATATTTTAATTGTTATAATTATATAAATTCAAATTTTGAAATTGAATGAAATGAACTTATCAATTTAGGCTGCTTAATATTGATACAATAAATAACTTAATTTTAAGTTTTATTTAGAAAGATTAACTTGATTGATTTTTTTCATGTTTACAACAATAAATGCTATAAGTACAATTAATTTATAAAACAATTAATATGGCAGAACGATAAACCTTAAAGGAAGAATGAATCAAATAGGAACCTTGTATTAGATACTTGCAAAAGTTGTTTCTAAAAGATCAAAATAGATCTCTAGTATTTTTTTTGAGATATTCTGATCATGTTATTACAGATGAATAATTATCTAAATAAATAGAATTACTGATTATTAAATTCATTAGGCATTTCTCGTTATAAATAGATAGAGCAGTAATTACTATGGTTTTATTTTTCACTCTCTTATTAGTGTTCATTAATTTTTCTTTTATATGTAAACTATTACATAAAAAATAGCTAATGATGCAAAAGAGGATTCTAACATAGATAAGATATCATTTATTACTGAAATTATAGAACAGATCATACCAATTCTTTTTGTATTGGAAATATCAATATGATGGATGAGGTAATTTAGGATTTTTTTTGATTTTTCGTCAAGAAAATATTATTTTTACTAATCAAAATAGTATGTTCAAGTTAAAAATATATAACTCAAGATCAAGATATTCAGGAGGATCACCTATTGAAATAAATTATTGAAGTTATGCTTGATTTTGTTAATTAATTTGAACATTTAGATATAATAAAAAATTAAATAAGGAATTACTCATATTTCAATTAATAAATTTAATGAACCAATATTTTAGGTATGTAGAATTGAAGTTTTATGTTCGTTAAATTAATAATAATAAAACTAGTTAATAATTTGATTAGATTTTATTAGTTCTATATCAATTGACATAAAAATGTAACTGATAATGTGTTATCAAAATGTATTTTTGAGAAGTATTAAATTATTAGATTTTAATAAATTAAAGGGAAAATTGGCATCTAATGATTTTGTTCAATTCATATTTAATTATTTGATTACAATATAAGCAACCCATTTCAAAAAAATTAAGAATACAGAGTAATGGACTTATAGAGTTTGAGGAGAATTTTGGTTATAAGAAGTTAAGGAAATAAACTTAGGGCTTCCGATTATTATGTTGTGTGATAGAAGAACAACAAATATTGAAAAAGGTTAGATATGATTTATTACACTATAATCAATTACTTTAACTAACTGAATTTATGAAATAGATTTCAGAAAACAAAAAGTATTGGTACTTAACACCTAATAATTGATAATCATAATTTATATATTTATTCTGATTTATTATAATTAATTATTAATGTCTGGTAGTGATTCAGAACTTGAAATGGTACCTTTTGAGGTAGCAAAATAAGCAGAAGCGTAAAGAAAAAAATAAGTGGCTGAACAGAAAACATAAATACACTTAAAAAAACAATAGTAAAAGGAATAAATATAAGAAAAAATTAAAAAGGATAAGGAAATATAATTAAAAGTTAAGCAAAAGAATTTATTTGAAGAGGAGCCTCCTGAACAAAGTAGTAGTACTTAGTCACATTTTACTAATAATAAAATTGATGAATCATTCTAAAGAAACTTGAATGAAAAATTGTCAGAGAAAGTAATTAAATCAATTAAAATGCCTTAAATATAATAAGCAAATAAAGTTCCTATAGAAATTAAATCAAAAAAAAGTATTGTTGATTAATTATCTTAGTTATCAAAAAGTTTAATGAAAAAGTTAGTATCGAAACTTTAGGGAGGGAAGTTAATCACAAGTAAAATTCAGAATAGTCTCTAAATTTTTTAAAGTAGCATTTATTTGACAAATAGTAGAGAGTTCCTATTTCAAAAATCATTACTAAAAAAATTTGAATTACATTGAGTTGTGTATATTCTTTATATTGATATTTTGTAATTTATTTTTATTATGGCTGAATAAGAATCATAAGAGAAAATTGAACTTTAAGAGGAGTAAATTGAAAATTCTTAAAAATAAACTTAAAACCAAGAGAATAGTCAACAAAAATAAAAGCGTAAAGTATAAGTTAGAGAAGTTCCTTCTGAAAATACATTGATATTTGATTTTGAAGTTTGTTAAAATTGTTAAGAACATTCATGGTGTACACATCATGATGAAGAAAAGTATGTGCAAATATTTTTGGAATGTTAAAAATGTATCTGTTAAATTGATTTTTTAGTAATAGAAAGTTAGATTCAAAACAGTTATTGTACTTTTAATGAAGGAATCAAACCAAGTACAGGATCTTTTGAAATTAGACATTAAGGTATTAAATTTGAAATACTTTTTAGGGATTCTTATTTATTCAAAAAAGAATACATAATTGTTTCCATAACCATCCTTATTAGTTGAAAGAATAAAGAAATTTCTTGATGATCTAGAGAATAATGGAGATGTATCTAAATGGGCAAAAAAAAAGGAGGTGAAATACTAACCTCCAAAATAAAAAAAAGAAAGAGAAACGTTTTAATCATATATGAAAAAAAGGGAGGAAGAAGAAAAAAGATAAAAAGAAGAAAAAGAGTAAGCCAGAATTTTGGGTGAGTAGGAGGAATAAAAAAAAAGAGAAGAAGAATAAAGAAGATAAGAATAATAACAAAAAGAAGAGGAAGAAAAAAAGAAAAAAGAAGAATAAGAAAAAGAAGAAAAAAGAATTGAATAAGAAAAAATTGAAAATGAAAGATTAGCAGAAGAGGAAAAAAAAATGAAGGAATAATAAGAATAGTAAGTATAATAATAAAAAGAATAATAAGAAGGTAACTAAGAATAAAATTAGTCAGGAGAATGAAATTCATAACTAATTATTAAATATTATGTATCTAATTACTGCTTTTTATAAGATGATCAGAGAGTCACTTAATTATTAACTATATTATCACTATATTTGCTAAATATCATTCTTAATATTCATATGATATATTTGAAAATTTTTAGAATACGAACAATAGATAATTGTTATTTCGAAATTTAATTTTAAAAAATTCAATTTTGTTTTATCATTTTATTTTATGATATAATGAATCAGGATTCTTTCCATTAATTCAAAGCATTTGAATTAAAACATCCTTGATATAGTTTATGTGAATATTTTATTGGATGTGATACGTCTTATAATCTCTCTGATTTTAATATTTGATGGAGAAATTCAAAACTACAAATATACTCTTAAACTATTTTATTAATAATATTATCTTAAAGCATTTCTTACAATGTTTTCAAAGAAGAAGATTTGCTAGCAAATTTGTTTATTTTTTTCTTGATTTAAACATTTTATGATGGCTCCAATTCATCTTCTTTCTCTAGTCTATTTAAGAAGCAATTTATAAAGAACTTAGGTAAATTTTTAGTTTCAGTTTTTTATTAATGTTTTTTGTTTTAACTTTTTTTACCAACAATAGGTTCACCTTTTGAAATTTTTTTTTTAATTTCTAAATCAGGTTTCTTATATTTATCCCTAATTTTTTTAGTTTAAGTCTCTGCAGGTTGTTAATTTGGATCATCTTCGGACCTTTCAAATTAGTGAGGTTAACTTGATTCATTATTTGAGATTTCAGTTTTAAGTGAATATTAAGGAAACTAATATAATTCTTGATTTTAATCCTATTATTATATATATTGACATTTATCATCCTCACAATTTTGAAAGTTGAAATTTGATTAATGAGAATAATCACTTAAATAATTATCATTTTGATAATTTCCTTGGCTATCATCATCAGAAGACTATTTCAATAACTTATACTCAGACATTTGTCAAACTTCTAAAAAAATTCAGATATATTATTTATTAAATCCATAATTAATAAATGAAGGTAATAAATTATATTATTGCTTCTTCATTGGTACATTTTATTTAAAAAAATTAATGAAAAACCTATAGAAGTTATAACAGTTCAATATACTCTTAACAATAGGATCAAATCCTTTAAAATATTGATAAAATAGTAATTATATTTTATTCTATCTTATGTATAATAATCAATTAAATTTATTTATATCTTATTCTTAAAAATCAACTTAGAAAGTTTATTTTTTTAGGAAAACTAATAATCCTATTGCTAATTTAAGATTGACTTTGAGATAGTTACACATTTTATTTTTAAATACATAATTATTTTATACATGAATTATAGAAAGAATAGTGATTTATTTATGATATAATTATATAAAATAAATGTGATGTAATACTCACTATAAAAGATGATTACATAATTCTTGAATATCGGCTAAACAATTTGCATCAATCTTTTATTCTAAAATGTCAGAAATTAATTAATAACTCGAAAAGTATTCAAGAGCTATCTATTTAGCTTCAAAATTATTTTTTAGATTGTGTAGATTAGTCTAGTTTTTTTTGTTAAGTAAAATCCTAAAGTTTTAGTTTTTTAGAAAAATATTGAAATGATGAATCTCTAAATAAATGGAAATAAGAATTACTTATATGATTGAGCAATAGATATGAAATCTAATGAAAACTTTTCTTTCTAAAATTCGATTTAGATCAATCAAAAGTTGTTAGCATGATTTATTTATAAATTTTTGACTATTCGAATTTAAAAAATACATGTTATTATTCTATTTATGAATTTTAATTAATAATAATCATTATATATGGATCAGAAATTTATATAGGCAAAAAGTTTACAAGAAAAGTTGCAAATAATACATTCTTAAGACAAAAGACTATCTGCATCTGAACTTGAAAACTTATATAAGAGCATTCATGGAGAGAAACCTAGTGATCGTGCTTATAAAATATTAGATAAAGCATTAGATAAAAATTTTGGCGGTCTTCTTCCAGATAAGGCTTCTTTTAGTATGGATTATAATGAGGGTGTTTTTAAGAGAATTACAGAGTCATTAGAAGATTTAGAGATGGTTGGATTGTATGCAAAATATGTTGTATAAAATTGTCGTGTTGATTCACATAGACTATTACTCAAGTAATTAGGATATGTAACAGAGAGATTAATTAGAAAATTTAGATAATAAGGAACAATTGAAGAGCATCTTTGTTTAAATAAATAAATAGTTATTGAATTAGTAAGTATATTGTGTCCAAAAGATATGACATACAATCCAGAATTGTTAAAATTAATATTAAAAGCATTTGGAGATTATCGGGATGAGGAATTATTGAAAAGATTAGCAGATAGTCTGATTTAGTAATGTAAAGATAATCTCAATTAAAATAAAAATCATGATTGGTTGATGCTTATAGTTACTATATTTGATTAAGCAATTGAATAATAAGGAGTATGTCTACATATTTTATATAAAAAAATTGGAAACTCTACATTATGTAATATCATTAACAAACATAAGAACTATTTTTTAATTAATTATTTTGATAATCCAGATAAACCTGTTAAAATATTTAGAGGTCTATTAAAATATAGCATTTAAAATGAGAACTTATCTATTTTATAAAAGATAACACATATATTAGAGGAATAAATGCGTTAAAATTATAATCAAAGTTCATATTTAATTTTAAGTGAAATTTATGTTTAAGTCATCTTACCATAATTATTACCTTAATTACATATAAATATTAATATTTTAGATTTATTACAGGTATTTTTAATAGGTATGTCAAGAAGTCAAGAATTATTGACAGATGAATATATTAAAATAATGTGTGATAGATTAAAATTAATGATTGATTTAAAATAGAATGATCGATAAGTATTTGATAAGATAATTGGATTTATAAATGCAATTTATAAAAAGTATTAGAATATATTATCATATCATGAATCATTTCAAAAATTATTGAATATCACAAGAGATAAATATTCTGATCAATACAATAAAATAGATCATGTTGAATGGGAGAGTAAAATTTTGAAACATATAAATTTTGATGATAATTTATATGATCGAAATGATTGTGATAATTTTGTAGGACTAGAAAATCTTACTAATACTTGTTTTATGAATAGTATTTTATAAGCACTTTATATGACAGATAGTTTTCGAAAATTTATATTAATGAATTCAATTCCAGATGCAAAATAATATAATGCATTAAGAAAATTATATATGTTATTAAATTATTAATAATCTGGATTTTGTTCACCATATGAATTAAAAAGATTACTTAGACCTCCATATAGTAATACAAATGATTAATAAGATGTTGGAGAATTTGCTCATCATTTTTTAGAAGATCTACTTAAATATATACCGAAAGAATAATAAGAAATATTAGAAAACATTTTCTTTGGTACTCATAGATCAGTTATAGAATGTCCTAATTGTAATATATCATTGGGTTAAATTGAAAAGTTCTTAGGAATTGATTTACATTTAAATAAACACACTTAATTAAAAGATATGATTGCATAAGTATATGAGGTTGAATAAATAGAATTTACTTGCGAAAAATGTTAACGTAAATCTAATGATATTAAAAAGTCTTTGTAAATACAAAATTTACCTCCTGTCTTGTTTATGACTATATAAAGGTATACTATTATATTTAAACAGATTTTAATATGATGCTTAATCTTAATAAATGACAAAGATTCTCGCAAAAGTTCCTCTCAAATTTGAAATCGATATGAGATTAGTATTTCAATAATAACATCTAGATGCTCAAGATAGTTTATATATATTATATGCATTCATTGTGCATCTTGGCAAAAATAGTTTTTCAGGTCATTATTCTTGTTATGCAAGATCGATGTCTAAACCTGAAACTTGGATTTGCTTTGATGATGATTAAATAAATCAATATGAATTAACTAGTGAAGACTTAAATTCATAATTAATGTAAACTAATAATAATAATATATTATAGTGATGAGGAAACTCCGTATATACTCTTTTACAAAAATAAATCTGGTCATTGTTTAAGTATCAATAAATGAAATAATATATATTGATCTAATTATAAAAAATACACAAATTTTCATTTTCCAAAAATATTTAAAATCATCTACAAACTATTATTAATACCTCGATTCTCATTTAAAGCTATAGATTTAAAATTTATCTTATATTTTTGCAATATTTTCTTTTTCTATACTGTCTAATTTACAATATCAAGTCTAATATCAAAATGACATGCTCCATCAATTTCAATAAAATAATTTTCTTACTCATCTCTCCTATCTATTCCAATATCATCGTATTTATTTTGCTTAATCTCAATAAACTCATTCTATAAAATACTATTCTTTTGCATTTATTTTAACTCAGAAATATTAAGATTTTCTAAATTTACATCCCAAACCCTATAATCTATAAGATAACATCCAACACGGCTTTCTTTGATATATTTCAACAACCCTTACTTTTCAAATAAAAATAAATTGTATTCAAAATTATTTTCCATAAATCCTTTAAAATGTTTGAAATTTCTTTACAACTAAAAATTTTGAAGATATTTTTCTGTCTAATCTTTTTTTATAGTCTCAATCAATTTCATTTAGATTTTCTATTCATCTTAATAAGGTTATAAAACTTTAGTGATTGGAAATTCATCTTCTAATAATTTTAAAGCTATATAAAATTATAAATTTTTTTAAATGTTTAAATTTGGAATTTCATGAACATAAATTTTTATTATGGCTGTTAAACAATCATTTATTTATTAATGAAATTAATTAGAATATTTTTCAATGCAAAATAAAAAGGATATACTATCTTATAGATTCATATTGAAATTTTCTATTTTATTTTAAACTTTCTCAAGTATTAATTTTTCCTATTCAAACAAGCTAGCCATACTAATGATATCGACAAGAGATTCATTTTAAAAATGATCCATATTAGTAATTATAAATTTTTCATATTATTAAATATATTTTAAAAATTGCTATCTGATTTCAATATTCATTTATGATGGAATGTAAAGAATTAATTTAATACCTATGATTGTATCATACAAATCTTTATCTTCCATCAAGAAATATTCATCAAATTATTCTTTCAATGCAAGTATTATTGTATATTAGTTATTTAATTAATGCAAAGGATTTTTTAAATATTTCATCATTAAAGACAATAGTGAAGTAATGTTAAATATTTTAAGATCTCTAACAATAGCATCAATACATTCTTTATCATTGAATCTAAGTGATACAAGTGCAATTAACACTTTAGCTTATTATTCCTGGTTTAGTTTATGAAAATCAGTCTTAATTCTTTACGAAACAAATTAATTTTCTAAAAACAATACACTAAATTCTACAAGCGATTTTTAGAAACCACCTTAAAGACCCCATAAGATATAATGAATATCAATAATTGTAAATGTAGAAAAGTCCAATTAGGATATTAGAGCATCAGTTGCTTTCTTAACATTTTCAGATTCTAGTTGATATAAATTAATTAAAGCTATAATATGAGTTATATTTTATTAGGTCTAACCTTTCAAACATTTTGTGAATCTATCAAGTAACAAATTACTACATTATTAATAAATATTATTTTCCTATTAATTTTATATGTAATTCTTTCTTTTAAGTTAACCTAAAATAAATGCTAATTAACCTAAGCATAGAGGATGATTAAATTTAGAATCTTGCTTAAATAATTAAATCAATCTATGTCCTGCTAATTTCCAAAATTCTTCATTTTTACATTCATTTTGTAAATAGTAGTACATTATACTTTTCATAGCAAAGAATGATGTAAATGTTGGAATATTTGTAAGAATATTTTAATGCAATCCTTTGACAATATCATCCTCACATTAAATACCATGACAAGAATCCTTTAAATTTTAAATTTAGGAGCCAGTTAATTTAAATAATTGATTTTTGAGATCGACATCTTTAAATCTGCTCTTTTATTTGACCAAGAATGCAAATTAAAATTTACATATAAGTGAGCGCATATTAAATTTAATAATCATTATTATTTAACCACTTTTCTCAAGGCATAACAAATTTTATGTTCTAGAGTTGTTTCAATATCTACATCTACTTCAAATGTCTTTCCTTAGAGTGGGAATTTGATTCGATATTTAACGGTTAATAATCTAAACAAGAATAAATAATCTCTATTTTTATCATAAGCCTCTGCTTCTTTCTTTTAAACCGTAAAAGCTAGAGTTCCCTCTAACCATTTATTTATATTATTTCTGAAATCCATATCATGTTTCAATAATTTACCCATAGCTAATTCAACTTTTTAAAGCAATCCACTTTAAACTTTTGCATCGATAAGGATTGGAACAGAATGACGTAAAGCTTTTCTTAATTTTGCATAAGTTTCTAAGGCCAACCACAATCCTTTACTAGATTTTTGTTACATTTCTTTTAGAGATTCAAAGAAAAGAACAAAAGAATTAAGTTTTTTATTATTTGCTTTGTTAACACTTTTAACAAAAACATCAAAAACTACATTTGAAATTGCATCCCTTGCAAAAGTAATTGCAGCTACAAAAGAATCAATAAAATATGTAGTAACTCTCATATCAGATCCTCCACCTACAGCTACACTTTTACCAAGATTTGAATTTTCTTCAACCATAGTTTTATTCTATTTATTTCTTGCTTTCAATTCCATTTTTGCTTTCCAAAGATTAATACAAAGTTATTTTAAAGATTTAGCATGATTTCTTTCAAATAAATCTAAACAAGCATCAATTTTAATATGAAATTTCTCAGCCCAAGCTGGTGGCATTCTAGGTTCCATACCACTTGATTAAACTGATATTTATTATGGTTGAACAGGTTTCTTAAAATATTATATAAAATTTACTGCATCTTCTCTAACTTTAGTTATTTCTTCCTATTTAAATCTATTGTCTCTTGCTAACATGCTTAACTCTTAAGCATAACTTCTGTTAAGATCTAATATTCTTCTTACTTCATGTTCTAGTATTCTAATTTTATCGAAAGCATCTACTAATTCATTATCTTTAAGATAAAGTGCTTCAGCAAACTATTTATCAAGTGCTTCTAATTTTAGTACTTTTTCTCTTAATTCAGCTTCTAATCTAGCAGTTTAATGATCTAGTGTAAATCTCAAAGATGCTATCTCTTCATCAGCTTTTCTTTTTAATTCTGTTAATTCATTAATTCTTTTCCTCTAATCTTAAATTTCAGCATTCTTATCATTAAGTTATTGAGTCAAACTTTGAACATCAAAATTATATTGTTTATCACCTAATTCTAATTTATTTAACAATAGATCTCTGTCTAAAATTAGATTTTAAACATCATTTTTTATTTCAAATTATTTTTCATATGCTTTTTCAACATTAAGATTAGAATCCTATGTTTTCTTTTTAATTGTTTCAAATTAAGCAGTTTACTATTGATAAATGGTATATAATTTTTTTAATTGATCTTTATAGAGAGATAATTCATAAGAAGCCTTTTGATAATCTGATTCAAATCCTTATTTAGCATGTTCAGAAACGTCCAAATCATGTTATAATTGCTACATTAATAAATTGTATTTACTTGAATATAATCATTCATTTTTTAGATTTGATAATTGTATTATTCTTCTCTTTCTTCAAATTCTCTATACCTATCATCATAATAATCTGGTTAATTGAATTATTAAGTTGATTATTAGTATTATTAAGGGATTGGATATTGTGGTAGTTATTATTTTTTAGTTACATATGGAGAATTATCATAACGTTAAGCACCTTTAGGGGATGTAGACATTTTAAATTGTGTCTGTTATTTAAATAAAATTCTAGAATAAATTAAAATTAATGAAATTCGTGTTGTTGTCAATTTTATTATTGCTTGTATTAGCAGGAGAGGATTATTACTAATTGTTAGGATTGAAGAAAGGAGCAAGTGATGCAGAAATAAAGAAGGCTTTTAAGAAATAATCTTTAAAATATCATCCAGATAAAAATAAGGGAAATGAAGAAAAAGTAATTGATTATTCTAATTATTGTATAGGCTCAAAAATAATTCTAAAAAATAGTAAATGCTTATGAAACACTTAAAGATCCAGAGAAAAGAAAGATTTATGATTAATATGGTGAAGAAGGTGTAAATAAACATGAATAATAATAATAATAAGGTGGTGGAGGAGGATTTCATAATTTTGGTGGTGGATTTGAAGAAATGTTTTCATAATTTTTTAGAGGAGGTAGTGGTGGAGGTGGTGGTCATTAATAATTTCATTTTAATTTTGGAGGATCAGGATTTGGTAATTAAGGTGGTGGATTTGGTAATTAAGATTTTTAAGAAGAAGGAGGATAAGCTAAAAAAGATAATATTTTTGAAAATACAGATGTTTATACTCTTGATATGAGTAATCTATCAAGATTTTATAGAAGAGAAGAAGTTTGGTTAATTTATTTTTATTTACCTAATGGAGAAGGATAAAAATATAAAAAACTTATTATTGAATTAGCTGAAAAATATGCAGGGATTTTTAGAGTCGCAGCTATTGATTGTGAAGATGATGAAGCATTATGTGAAGATGAATTCTAAGTTAAAAGATATCCTACTGTTTCTATTTATGCATCACGACTTTCTGCTGAACCGATTAAATATACAGGAAAATGGGAATTAAATGAAATGGCTAAAGAAGCTGTTGATCTTATGGAAGATTTTGTTATTGTGTTAAGTGGATTCAACTTTTAAGAGTATATTGAAAAATCTAAACCTAAAGTTATTTTATTTACTAATAAAAAATCAACCCCTCCTTTATTTAAAGCTCTTTCTAAAGAATTTAAAGGAAAATTAGAATTTGCCATGATTCGATAATCAGAAAGACAATTAACTTCAATTTTCAAAATCACAGAATTCCCAAGTTTAATTGTTGCTTAAAATGATTAGGATTTTAAAGTTTTTGAATCTGAATTTAAAAAAGATTAGATTGTTAAATTTCTTAGATAATTTGCATATGGATAAAAAAAGGAACCATAACAAAAAACAATATAATAATTAAATGGATAAAACTATGAATAATGTATTACAAAAGGAAAAGATTTGTGTTTCTTATTATTAATTAATAATGAAACTGAATTAGAATTAATATCTAAAATACCAAGTAAATATTAAAATGAGAATATCTCATTTTATTATGCCAATCTAAAGTATTTTATTATATTAGATTAGGTAACTTACATAAAAATTTGAAGCTAATTTAAAGTAATCATATGCTGTAATTATAAAACCTAAGAGACAAACCTATGCTGTATAAACTTCAATTGAGAATAATGAGATTATAACATTTATTGATGATGTACTTGGAGGAGGAAGAACATTTAAGAAGATGCATTCTACTTTTAGAAAGGAAGAGTTGTGAATTGTTTTTTTATTAAATTAATTTGCTTTATTCGTTAATTTTAACAACTATTTAATGGACAATATAGTACAAAATGTGGATGATGAATATAATGAAGCCAAATAGGATTCTTATTAACAACCTGAGAAATTATCAGACAATTTAGGAAGAACTCTTTTCTTTGACTCTAACAATCTTCCTTAGGTAGAGTGCTATTACCATAAAGGATATTATATATCTAATATGTGTAGAGCACCTCAATGTATAATACCATTATGTCCACTTTGCATTCATCTTCATTCTAAAGAACATGTTAATGAAGGTACATATCCAGTATTTGAATCATTGGAGGTTTTACTAAATCAAGCAAGTGATCATGTTAATAATGAATGTAATCATCTCTTTTGTATCATTTATAGTGAAGAAATTTACTAATTCTTATTATGATATCAAAAAGCATGTGAATACTTTTGAGGTTCATGCAGATAAAACAATTAAAAAGATAAGAGAAATTAAGAAGCGTATTTAAGATGTTGTTGAACAATTCTTTAGTGGTTTAGAGAATGAAGTATCACATAAATAGAAAAAGAATGTAAATAATTAGGAAAGAGATGCGAAACATTTGTTATAAATGATAGAAGATCGATGGAGATCAATGAAATAGATGTTAACTACTTTTTAAAGTTCAGATTGTTTAACAGCACTTATTCCTTATTTTACAACAACTTTTTAAGAAGACAATCATGTTTATTATAAAAAAATAGGTGAATATATAAATGCATTTCCAACAGTTAGCAGTGAAGTTCATATCGATTAACATAGAGCGTATAATAATAATAATTAATTAAAGTTCTGAGTTAAGTGTGTTTTTAAGTTCAATAATAAGAGTTTAACATACCTCAATTCCTGATTTCATTGGTATTCATTAACTACCAACAACAAATGTTACTGAAAGCACAAAAATAAGTTCTTTTTAAAACAGTTCTCTTTAAGGTAGTAGAATCAAAGAACCATTACGTGTAACTATTCCAGAGAAGAGAACCTAATTTGAAACTATAGATCAAAGAAGACCACCAATTTAAGATGTTAGAGCTTAAAGAAGTCCACCTCCAAATTCTTAATCTATGTATCCATATCCAGTTCATGCTTCTATGCATCAATATCCTCCTTAACATCATTTACCACCATAATATCATAGATTTTGATTAAGATATTATAATATATTATTTTATTAAGATTATTTTTACCATTATTTTACATTCTTAAAAATTCATCACTCTTATGTATCTTTAAAATTTTAATTAAAATATATCTTTGAAGAAACTGAAACATAATTATTTAAATTTCTTTGGAGTTTAACTCAAAGATTCAATTGAAGAAATCATAATAGAAAATGCTGAAATGGATTCTATTCCAGATTCACTTAAAACTGAATTACAAAAGTTTAGCCTTCTGTCAATTAACTAAGTTGAAAAGAATTGTCTAAATTAATTATTTATCTAAATCTAATTAACAATTCAATTAGATTTAGATAACTAATTTGATTCTATTGAAGATATCAAATAATTAGCATTACTCAATCATCTTTCTTAACTAAATTTATATAAAAATCCAGTTGCTGATTAATCTAAGTTTAGATGAGAAATTTTTGAAGTCTTAAGCAAATTAGTATTGTTACTAAGACTGGAAATTAAATTCAATTAAATTAGGAAGTGAAAATCAATAAAAATTTGGAAACTATTGATTCAAAGATTAATGAATTAAATTTATATCATTTTTGGATGCTAATATTATCAATAAATTAATTTCTGGGTATAATCCTTATACTTTCCATATTAAAAAGTGGGTGTGCATACTGTTGAATTATTTTGCACTATTTTTCTCCTATTCTAATTTAGTTTACTGATACATGTTATTTAAAAAGATATTAAAATTTATATTTTATACTATTGAGTTTTACTATAAATTAAAAAATAGAACTTTTAGTTAGAGTAAATAACAACAATGAAGAGAGATATAAAAATTTAAAGACATAAATCAAATAGTGTAGAAGATGATCTAGGTTGAATATATTAATAAACTTATTATATTTATATTAATTTATAGTAAGTTTTATCATTTCAGGAATCATATATAATGGTAAATTGAGATGATTATAAAACTTAAAGTTAAATGAATATAAATTCAACTTGCCTAGAATGTAGAAATGCCATTTGAAAACATTATATATATATATAATTAGAATATTGAATAGATATTCATATAAAGCTGAATACACTGAAAGGTGGATATTAGAGTTAATTATTCTAAGTTTTTTGAATTTCCTTTATAGGTAATTTGGCGTATTTAAACTCCATATTCTTGGGTTCATAAGTGATGAATTTGAACATTGCATAACTAAAAACGACTAATAAGATCATAGGCATAAATCCAGCCATAAATATAATAGCTGGTATTGATCCAAAAATAGGATGAGCACTTGCTAATTTATTATCTGTAATTGGTTGAAATAATTTTACAAGTCCATCTTTAAATAAACAAAACCAAATATATAATCTAGGTTCTTTTTAATCATATAAAGATATATCATCTTATGCTTTTTCAAGTAAACTCAAAGCTCCTTATAAAGTGTGCCTCTCCATCTGAGCATTAACACACAAACAAAATAATAGAATTGCTATTATAACTTATTTCATTAATAACAATCACAAAATTATACTAATCAAACATCAACATATCAAAATGGTCTAATAATACTTAAATAATAGCTTATCAAAACCTATGACTATGCAGATGTTCAATTTCTTTAATATAAACATAGGTTCATAATAAATATTCAGCCAAACCTTTAAAAACTATATTTAACAATAAGAATATAAATTTCTCAAAATACTGATTGATTGTACAACTAAAAGCGAATGTATGCCATGAAAAGTATCGTCTAATCTATAGATTTAGCTAAGTTTGACATAATTACATAAATTTTTGATTATTTTGATTGAACATCTGTTCTTTATCAATTTTCTCTTAATCTATCCATTTTAACATTATTATTATTGTTNATACTATTGAGTTTTACTATAAATTAAAAAATAGAACTTTTAGTTAGAGTAAATAACAACAATGAAGAGAGATATAAAAATTTAAAGACATAAATCAAATAGTGTAGAAGATGATCTAGGTTGAATATATTAATAAACTTATTATATTTATATTAATTTATAGTAAGTTTTATCATTTCAGGAATCATATATAATGGTAAATTGAGATGATTATAAAACTTAAAGTTAAATGAATATAAATTCAACTTGCCTAGAATGTAGAAATGCCATTTGAAAACATTATATATATATATAATTAGAATATTGAATAGATATTCATATAAAGCTGAATACACTGAAAGGTGGATATTAGAGTTAATTATTCTAAGTTTTTTGAATTTCCTTTATAGGTAATTTGGCGTATTTAAACTCCATATTCTTGGGTTCATAAGTGATGAATTTGAACATTGCATAACTAAAAACGACTAATAAGATCATAGGCATAAATCCAGCCATAAATATAATAGCTGGTATTGATCCAAAAATAGGATGAGCACTTGCTAATTTATTATCTGTAATTGGTTGAAATAATTTTACAAGTCCATCTTTAAATAAACAAAACCAAATATATAATCTAGGTTCTTTTTAATCATATAAAGATATATCATCTTATGCTTTTTCAAGTAAACTCAAAGCTCCTTATAAAGTGTGCCTCTCCATCTGAGCATTAACACACAAACAAAATAATAGAATTGCTATTATAACTTATTTCATTAATAACAATCACAAAATTATACTAATCAAACATCAACATATCAAAATGGTCTAATAATACTTAAATAATAGCTTATCAAAACCTATGACTATGCAGATGTTCAATTTCTTTAATATAAACATAGGTTCATAATAAATATTCAGCCAAACCTTTAAAAACTATATTTAACAATAAGAATATAAATTTCTCAAAATACTGATTGATTGTACAACTAAAAGCGAATGTATGCCATGAAAAGTATCGTCTAATCTATAGATTTAGCTAAGTTTGACATAATTACATAAATTTTTGATTATTTTGATTGAACATCTGTTCTTTATCAATTTTCTCTTAATCTATCCATTTTAACATTATTATTATTGTTTATAATATTCTAATATACAATACTTGAGTAAGCCACATTTTTTATTAATTTTTATTCTCAAATGTTGTCAATACAAAAAAAATACTTGAAAGTAAACTATAAATTATTAAAAATACTATTATAATTTATTCATATAAAATAACTTAGTTCATTTTTCGATTTCCTCAACTATCACTATAGACAATCAGACATTTTTATTCTTTAAAATTTAATGTTAGAATGACATATTTGTAAGAAATGCTTCTAATAATAACTATAATATTTTTAATATTTTTGAAAGCTAGCTAGGTACAATTAAGCTATTGTTTAAATTAAGCTTCCTTTGATAAAAATTCTTTCTAAAGTCAACCTGTCTCTATCAATATTTTTGAATTTTTATTAACCAAATATAAAATTCCAGAAAATTATATTAATTGCTATAAATTAAACAAATCTTCAATATAAATAAATTATTAAATTATTTAAAGCTTTTAATCAAATAAATTAGGATACGCATTATATTAGATTTATTAAAAATAACTTTTAAAAACCTAAAGTGTTCAATGATATCAAAGAATAGACCAAATTCAAGTTGTCTAATTGCTCTTTAAAAACCTCCAAAAAGTTTTTTTAAGAGATTAGTATAATTTAGCGAATTTTTTGAAACCAATCAATTCGTACAACAACAAGTGTAAATTGTTAACAATCCTGATCAAATAAGTTCCCCCTGCCTTCTAAAAAGTAGAAGTAAATATAAAAATCCTCTTAATTAACCTCTAAAACACTTACTGAAAATCTTAGAAAATAAATCATGTCATCCATATTTACTTGAATAAAAATGAAAAAATTGTAATTTAATAGTCACGAAAATAAATTATTTCCTTATCTTTGTTCACATTATTATATATAAATATCTTATGCTTATGATCACAAATTATTTAATTTTTAGACTTTTAAATTCTTATATTTAATAAAAAATAATAAAGAAATACAAGTCTATATTTATCTTAAACAACTTCAATAAAATATATTATTTGTTTCATAATAATTATGCTGAAAGAGGAGAACAGAGAATTATTTAAAAGAAAACAAAAAAAATGATTTATTAATGAATATTTGCTTTTAAATTATTACAATAAGAAAATTTAATTTCTAATATTGTTAATGAAGAGATTTCTTAGATAATATTGAAAAAAAGAGTTCAATGAATTAACAAGAAAAAGAAACTTTCAATAAAAAATATGATCATTTATATAATAAATTATAGCAAGAATATAAAAAATGCATTTAAAATAAGAGAGAAAAAAAGTTTGCTTTTTATAAAAGAGAAAATAACCCAAAGCACAATGAATTATTGAAATAAATATACTGATTCTATATTATATTTTTATTCAACATAATTACAATTATTTCTAAAAAAAATGTTTAAAAATTTATATTAATAAGTATTATAAAAAAGAAATTAATTTTTTGTTTTTTTGATTGATTCAGGATGTTTATTTTCGTTAAATTTATTTAATAATATAAATATAAAAACTTTTCGTTTTTAACCTAATTTAAAGAGATAAAATTGATTTCAAGTTTTTATATTGCATTTAGTTAAATAGAACTGTTTCTTGTTAAAATTGATTATTACTGATGGTTTAATGGATTAAATTTTCAAACTATTGAGATTTATTTTAATTAATATCCAAATATTATAAATGGCAAAAGAGGTAAATCGGGAAGAATATGCAAGAAAGAAGCATTTTAATGATAAAAAAAAACAATTTGCTACAGAAAAACTTAAAGCTTCATTTCCAAATAGTTTAGAATAGTATAACAAAGAATAAATTTAAGAATTGAAAGATTGTAATTGCCCAAAAGATTAAGATTCTAAGAAAGGAATTAATCATACTGATGTTTGTTTACATGAAGATTTTTAAGCCCATTAAAAATAATAGAAGAAACTATTAAAAAATTATATTTACTATAAAACAGAATACAATCATGATAGAGGTATTTCTCCTGAATTTTACTTTGCAAGATAAATATATTAGAAAAAATAAGCTGATTTATTAAAAATTTAGATAAAATAAAAAATATGCAAGGGAAAAGATTTTAATGATGATTTTGTATATTGAATTTTGTAATATTTTTTATTATTTTCAATTCTATATGAATAAATAGTATATGATAATTTATAGAAGCTTAATAATGAATATTAAAGAATAAAAAATGTATACTATTTAATTTAAAGATAGAGATTAGAAATAAAGAAGAGAATTTGAATATATATAATTAAATCAAAATATTTTTAATTAATTGAATATAATCAAATATATACAATAAGCTCATATTATGAATCAGCATATTTATGGAAGTGAACTTTTACATAAAGGGCAAATAAGATTAATTTACATCCATTGTATTAAACAAGATGGATGAAATACATGATTCTAAAAATTAAAAAATAACTTACACATGGAGTGTTCATTAATAATTGCTTCTAATTGGCCATATTTAAAGTTTGAATTAGAACTGGTTCTTCTGAATTTAGTTTATGAGTTGAAATGTTGCTTAAATTGACTAGGCAAATTGAACAATCTTATTTGGAATAATCTTCTGTTGATTTAATAAAGTAATTAAATTTAATATTCTCTAGTATAAATAATCCATATTGGCATTAGCAAAAGTAAAAAATAAATTATATTAGAGATATAAGTAGGATAAGTCCAAAAACCACTAAATTATATTCTAAAAATAAAATGTTATTAGCATAGCCTGAAAAGTATAAGGAAAGGATAACTCTTGGGAATATTACTCCTATATAATTATAGTTCAATTTCTATCGTTTTCCAGTAAATAATGTGAATATTATTTAAGGCAATAAATATAAGTTTAGAAGGAACAATCCATAAGATTATTTGATTTAAAAAAATAAAAATGTGATGGATAACATTTAACATAGAAATGAAAGGATTTCTTTTTTATTGTAATTATCTTTCATCTATAAAATATATAATATAATTACTTATAATTTAGCTTTCAATTTCAGATCAAATAAAATAGTAATCAATTAACAAGCTAAACAAGGTAAGTAATAATTAAATCTTTGTGTATTAAAAAGTAATGAACTAAATACACATATGCAAATATCTTAAATTAATATAATAGATATTGAAAGAGAGCTACCTTAATTTGGTTAAGGTTTTGAATTCAAATAATAATGGGAATTAATAATTTAAAATAGTGAAACGCATATGATAAGCATTGAATAGGTTTAAATTTGTAAAGATTAATTTGAATTATTGAAAATAAATAGCTTTATTTTTTCTTCTGTCATCTAACATTCTTTATCAAATTTACTATAAATATTAAGATTTTTAGAATCTTAGTATTTTTGAGTTTCTAATTCAAGTGTGGCTTTACACGAAATAGGAATTTGATTTTTGCTATTTAATAAAGTAACTTCAGTTAAGACATTTTACCATGTCATTCGACTAGATAAATAATTTATGAATAGATACTTTTTGACTGAATCAAAGTGATAAGAGCTATTACTCAATGAATAACTTAATCTAAAGTGATGAGTTTCCCTATAATTGTTCTTTTATTTTGGGTAAACTTCCAATAAAAAATTTTGGTTGTCAAAAACTATATTTAAATAAACAAGGTGTTCTGAGCTTGCTGTCCATTATCCAATTATTAATTAATTCTAGTTTTCAATCAAATATTGATAAACTGATTATGTATTGCCTTAAGCAAATGTTGTATTGCTTGATACTTAACACATTACGTAATCAAATATCAATAAAAACAAAATTATTCTCATTAAACTTATTTTATTAATAATATTTTTTTTAATAACTAATTCGAATAATTGCAAATCGCTTCTTATAGAAAGCGTTAATTTTAATATTAGTTTATAAAAGATTTATACTGTTATAATTATATTTAAAATGAAATATATATATTAAATATCAATCAAATATCATTTAATTATATACATCCATTTTTGTTGATAATTACAATAATTCCAATTACTAAAATTAATGAATATAAAAATATCAAGCTATTCTTAAATACTAAGTATATATTATAAATTTTCTGAATGATTGTTTTATTTGAGTTCTTTTTCAAATAATTAATAGAAAATCTATACTTCATCCAAAAAGCAAGAATTCGGTAAAATCTATTTGATCGATTAAATACTCTGCAGATTTCATACTAATGCTTAGATTTGATTATTTTTTGGACTTTTTTAAGCACTTCAATTTTTTTATATAAAAAAAATTTGAATGAAATAAAATCAGAATTAGAATGATCAATTCTAAAAAATTTTATATTAAAATACACATACTTATGAAATACATTAAGTTTATTAAGTTTACTCCAAAAAATTAAACAAACAGACAAATAATTACATAAGTTAATGAAAAAGAATAAAATTACTATTAGGGCTATCTCGTTAATTCATAAATAAAGCCAAAGAATTAAAATTATGTTATAAAATATAAAACTAAGAATACAAGAGTAATCTTAGCAATAATAATACTTAAATCATTATTACAAATAGATTGTCTGATAGATAATAATTTAAAAATGTCAATTCATTTTTTTATTTATTTTAAAAGCATTAGCAGCTGTAAATGCTCCAAATGGTTAAATCATATAATAATCTAACGATTTCTTTTGAATTTTATAGAAAAATAGGAATTTTTATTTTATAAAATAATATTATTCTTCATTATTTTATTGTGTCAGATTCAAAATAACTATTCATCATAAAATCTATTAATATAAATAATACAAGCATGAATTTTATCAATAATGTTAGTACAAATGTATAAGGAATTATTGATACATAGATTTGGTAGTATTTTTATTTTTCCTTCAAAATTTTATTCACCTCTTTTAATGTTTTGATTAGCACTTTGCTTTGTTTTCCTACAAAATTTATTTATTTATTTGATTGAATAATTATCAAATTCTGAATTCAACAGAAATATCAGTATTTTAATAGAAAATTTTTAATTATAAACTAATAGAAAATTTTTATTCAGATAGAAGATTTATTAATATAAAGCTAATTTAATTTTGAATTATCTTAAGAAAATTAATTAAACTTAAAATGATAATTTTAGTACGACATGGTGAAAGGGCTGATATTTGCGAAATCGAGAAGAAAAAGATTATAAATCCTCATGATCCACATCTTACTCCAAAAGGGTGTGAATAAGCTTAGTAGGCAGGAAAATAGATTCTTTAAGAAATTGAGATGTATAGATAGATTACTATTTAATCTTCTCCTTTCTTAAGATGTATAATGACTGCTAAAAACATTGCTCATCAAATAAAAAAAGAGGAGATCTCATTAATTACAGAAATTTGTGAAACCTTATATCCTCATTTCTTTTCTAGTAATCCATTGCCTGAATTGTTAATTAACAACAATCCCACACTTAATGAATTATCTGGAATAACTTTAATCGATCAATAATAATAAAAAGATGATATATATCCTGAAACTCTAGAGAATGTGACTAATAGAATTTTGACTTATGTCTAATATATGCTAGAAAAAATTGAAGATGATCAATGTGTGATATTAGTAACACACCAAAGACCTCTAAAGATAATATTAGAACTTTTCAATTAGAAGACAGATGATGTTGGATACTGTAAAGTGATTTCTCTACGTAAAGGAGAATCTACATAATTAGACCAATCCAAGCTAACAGTTTATTGATAATTTATTAAATTTATTATTATTATATACATTTTAATTATTATAATTAATTATTAAAAAATGTTTATAAATAAAACTTTTTTATTTATGCAATTCCAAATCTTTACTATATTGTCTGATACTATCATTATACATTTGTTATATTTGTTCCATATCAAATTTTAAATCTCTTAAAAATACAAAACTATTCAGGTGTATTCTTTTAAATATTAATTGATAATGGAATCAAAAATATTAGAAAACACAAATTGAAAATTTGCTTATGTTGTTAATTACATAACTTCGTGCAATGAAAATTTGAAATTGAAAATAATTCCAATAATAGTACTACATAAAGAAGTTCATAAAGTTTTACAACATCTAAATTATTAATTCATCCCATCTAATGAAAATTAAAATACTTAACCTCCCTACTAAACAATTCAAATTATCGACTACTCTTTATAAAAATAAATTAAAAAAAAAGAAATAATAGTATTTGATAATAGTTGCAAAATATTTTCTCCTCTTTTTTTTTAGAAAAGAATGAACAGATTAAATAAGGGAAACCTGCTCTATTAATTAGTATGATTATTTCAAAAGTATAATATTCATTTGTGATCATTTTATATTTAAATATTATACTATAGTTTTATAATAAAAAATGATTACATGACTAATAGATAATCCTATATGTTTAAAGAAGAATTATATTATTATGATCTTTCATTAAAACTCCATCTATTAATTTATATAATCTAAATTAATTCCTTTATAATCAAAAACTGTGGTTTTCCACTTAAATCAATCAAATTAATTTATTATTATTTCATACTTTACGCCTGGTAGACAAAATAAAACTAAGCATTCATGAAATTATTGTTTGAAATGATGATTTCTTCTTCATTCAATTGATTGAGCTTTTTATTATAGATTTGATCAAAGAATTTTTTTCTTTTTTTTGTAATAGATTGCTTAAGTATTTTTATAATAGCTGATTTCTATAACTTAAATTATTGTCTATTTTTTGCCTTAAAATTTTTCTTATCTATCAATTTTTAAGAATAATCTCAATCAATACGAGAAAAATTATTTTTGAGTTCCAGGAATTAATTAATAATGGATATGAATTAATTAAACAGCTCAAATCTTCTAATATTACTAAGTTTTGTTGGGATTTAGGCTCATTAAAGGAATAAATCCCAGGCAACTTAGTTAATATAAAGAATAATAAATGTAGTATTAATTGACAAATAAATCAAAAAAAATAAAATATGGGAATAATTTATTTAATTAATAAATTTATGGGAAGCACTTTAAAATGCCAAGGCCAAAAGAAAGAAAAAAAGAAAAATGCTTAATATATCTTTATTATTAGTAAATTTATTAATATTTGTAATTATCAATCTATAATGCAGTTGACAATTATGAATTACATATGTTACTTATGATTTACAAAGACTTGGCAAACCGTTCTCAAAATCATTAAATCTGTAGAGAGAGCTTCAATACTTATTTTAAAATTATAGTTTGTAGAATAGTGATGATTAATTTAGGGAATATGGGGTGAATAAATATTCAATAAATTTGCTCATAAATAAGAAGATTACATGAGTTTTGAAGAATTTCTTACAGGATTGTAAATGTATATAAAATGTTCAGAGGATCAACAAATTAAAAATTTATTCAAATTGTATGATTTACAAAATCAAAATGGCATTGTAAAAACTGATTTTTTATAAATGGTATACTTCAATTTATATTTTTAGTTACATAATTATTCTAAAGAAGAACTTAAAATTATTTTAAATGATTAACTATTTTTAGAAGAATAATAAATTATAAGTGCATATCATCGTAGAAAACGTGTTAAACCTAGAAAAGGTAGTGAAGATTTTCTAAAAATGTCATGTAATTCATTTATTTGTTTATTTTTAGTGTAAATGTTAAGAAAACATAGTAATGCATCAGAATATAAAGATTAAAATCAAAATGAGCATTTAAATATAAATTAAGTGGATGGTTAGTAAAGTATTAATTCTAAATAATCAATTGATTAAATTTTTACTTTAGATAGTAAAGCATAATTAAATGGAATACCAATGAAAGGATTTGGAATAAATCTATCATTTTCAGTAATATTATTGCATGATATTGAGGTTAATGGATAAAAGATTGAGATTTAAGCAAATTTGAATTTGTTGATAAGAAAATATGTTGAAATGGTTTACAAAGCAAAAAATGATTTACCATTAAATTTAGAAGACTTTACAATTTTTGTTAAACATCATCCTAATTTAATAATGCCTTTGTATTATGTATTTAATTTTGATATTTGGGGATTGTAGAATAGTTTACCAAAATACAAGAGTTTGTAAAAAAATATATCTAAAAATAGACCTTTAGATATTCAAGGAGAATTATATAGGATTTCAAAATAAAAAAAGATAAAAACGAAATTTTGTTAACTCTATCCAAATATTTTAATGGAATTTCAGAATAAAAATGAGATTAAACCTACAAGTATATACATTTTTTGAAATAATTAGAAATAATTTGTTTAAGTGGATTGATAATTGAAGAAAGAGTTGATCATACAAATTAAAAGTTTGGGTTTGAAATATTTCATATGAATCAACATTATAAACATAAAATATATCATTGTTCAGATGAAATGTCATTTAGAGAATGGTAAAGAGCATTATCTTTATATTTTAATGGTGAAATAAATAAAAAATATTCAATACTTGATAAAATAGGTGAAGGTAAATTCTCAATAGTTTACAGATGTCAAGCTAAAATGGATAAATAATTTTATGCATTAAAAGTAATAAACAAAATGAATCTTCCTCAAGAAGAATAAGATATTGTAAAACATGAAATTAGTATAACAAAATTATTAAATCATTCTTGTATAATAAAATTGATAGATTCAATAGAGAATCGAAATTAGATTAATATTATAACAGAATTAATAGAGGATGGGGATTTGTTTGATTATGTTTAAAATAAATCATATTTAGAAGAGAGTGAAGCAGCTATAATATTTAATTAATTACTTGATGCTCTGTCATACATTCATTCGATTGGGATAGTACACAGAGATATAAAACCTGAAAATATTTTAATGATTTTAGATAAGAATGCAATAAAATAGATAAAATTGATTGATTTTGGATTAGCTAATCATTTATCAAAAATCTAAAAGAATAATGAATTTTAAAATTATCATTGTGGGACATGTAATTATTAAGCACCTGAAATGCTATAATTTTAAGAAATAACATTTGCTGTTGATGTATTTGCACTAGGCGTTATTCTATATTATATGTTAAGTGGATACTTACCATTTGATTCTGATATTCCTTAAGAGATTATATAGAATACTATTGATGGTGTATATAGTATGGATGATTATCATTGGCAATGTGTAAGTGAAGAAGCTAAAGACTTAATTCATGGATTGTTGTAAAATTAACCAAGTTAAAGACTTACTCTAAAACAGGCCAAAGAACATTAATGGATTAAAAACAAAATGCTTAAAATTAATAAATAATGAATATATTTTATACCAAATGCCTTAAATAATTTTATTCTTTGTAACTATTTTTAATTTTCCTCTATATTAAGTGTTCTAAATTAAAATTAAGTAAATTAGTTAAATTTTATTAGAATAAATAGAAATATAACCTCCATAATGAATGATATTATTACATAAATATAATAATTTATAAAATAACCTTGTAGAGTTCCAAAGAATTTCTTTTAGACACTTCAACTTTTTTATTATCTTATCTATTAAATCTTTTATTGAATATCATTAAAGCTAAAAGCATTATAAATTTTTAGATATTAGATTCAATTAAACATCAATAAGTAAAGAACTTAAGATAATCAAATAAATTAGTATTTATAATTTTTATTTATATTACTAGATGGTTATAATATTCTATTATATTTTTGGTTTTAGAATAAGGAAATCATAAAAAAACAATAAAGATATCATTCAAAATTGATAGAGAGATCACTTAAAATAAATAAAGAGCAAAGCTTTAATGAGATTCTAAAACACTTTAAAAAATAAGATTTTTAAGTAAGAATTTGTTAATATTTAATAATAGTATATTTAATGAATTTGAATAATTTCTTAGACTTTTTTTTTATTGATCAAAATAATTTAGAATAAATTTTATATTATTTATGTCTGAATCAGAAAGTAAGTCGATAAAAAAAGCGCAAAAATTATAAGGGAAATTATCAAGAACTGAAATGTTGGAAGAGAAATTTAAGTTGGAAGAATAATTAAAAGAAATAAGAGAATAATATGGAAATTTACCTGAAAAAAAAGCAGAGCCAAAAACAAATACTCAATATAGATGGAATTATATCATAAATGAAATGGTATTATTTTGATTGATAATAGAGTGAAATGTAATAATATATGTCTAGAAGACTTGAATGTTTTAAATTTAAGACAAAGAAATTAGCAGAATAAGCAATTAATAAAAGGTTAAAATATTATGAGGCAATAAAAGAAAAAGAGAGGGTAAAAGTAAAATTAATATAAAGAATGAAGAAAAGAATTAATTTAGACAATTACAAAAAGTAGCTAAAACAGTATAGAGAGAATATTGGAAATATGTTTGGTAAATAAGAAAACAAGTGTAATAATTTAAGGATGATAAAATAAAAGAGGAGAGTTAAAAATAGAAATTAGGAGATATAGTTTCAAGATTAAAAGAAGTGACAGAAGAGATTGGATAGAAATTATAATAATATTAAAATGAATAATAAGAGGATGAAATAAATTTGATACCAATAGAGAAATTTAAGACACTTTATTTTGAATTAAAAAGAAGATAAAATGCATGGCCAGGGTTCAAAAAATAAATATAATCAGTTTAATCAAGTATTAATATGATTGAATTAAAAAGACATTGTGATTGATTTAATAAAAGTAGGATAAGATAGATACGAAATAGCAAAAGTAGAATTTAAAGATGAAGAAGTAGATGATAGTATTTTAGATGCAGATAAATGTTTAAAAGTATTAAAGAAATCTAAATAATTTCCATTTTTATTTGAAGCTGAAGATAGTAAATAAATAATAGTAAAAAATAGGTTTATTGGAGTAATAACCATTTTTATTAAATGGATAATTAAGAATATATTAATTAGTAGGAGTTCATTGGATGGCTAGTTTACATTAATAATAAATGAATGGAATTTTAGCAGATGAAATGGGTTTAGGAAAGACAATCTAAACTATAGCATTATTGGCATATTTAGCAGCAAATAAATAAATTTGGGGTCCTCATTTAGTAATAGTTCCAACAAGTATTTTAATGAATTGGGAAATTGAATTTAAAAGATGGTGTCCTGCTTTTAAAATAATGACTTATTTTGGTTCTCCTAAAGAGAGAAAATTAAAAAGATAAGGATGGAGTTAATTAAATAGTTTTCATGTTTGTATAACAAGTTATAAAATTGTTATTTAAGATAGTAAAGTATTTAAAAGAAAGAAATGGTATTACATGATATTAGATGAAGCTTAACATATTAAAAATTTTAAATCTTAAAGATGGTAAGTATTATTAAATTTTAATACAAGAAGTAGATTACTTTTAACAGGAACTCCTTTATAAAATGATTTAGGTGAAATATGGAGTTTACTTCATTTTTTAATGCCATCTATTTTTGATAGTCATTAAGATTTTTTATAATGGTTTATGAGTATTGAAAAAGCAATTTCAGAAAATAAAACAATTTCAGAAGAAGTCTTAAGATAATTACATGATATTTTAAGACCTTTTGTTTTAAGAAGATTAAAAAAAGATGTAGAAAAATAATTACCAGAAAAAAGAGAAATTATTGTAAAATGTGATTTATCTAGAAGATAAAAATATTTATATGATGAATTTATACAATCATCTGGAAATTTTGAAATATAAGGCACAGATTTTGTATCAATAATGAATAAAGTTTAATAATTAAGAAAAGTGTGTAATCATCCTGAATTATTTGAATAAAGACCAGTAGAATAACCATTCTTCTTTCCTGCTCTAAAATTTACATATCCTAAAATAATTTAAATTGATCTAAAATAATCTCCTATATCATTAAATATCTAATGGATTAAATAAAGATTTCCATCTTAATAAGTATTATAATACTATTAAAATATAATTGAACAGAAAGTTATGAATAAAAAAACTTCGAAGTTTGGGAAAAGATGGTTAGAATTAGAAAATTAACAATTATAATCTAGATTTAAAATGAATATGTAAAATAGCTATTTAAAAATTATTTTCTATCATGCATTATTGACTTATAATCCAGAAATACTTACTTTTTGTAAAGAGAAGATTAAAAGTTTTTTGATGCCTACAGTAGAACATCTACTTTAAAAAATGCAAGATACAGTTAATGAATTTAGTTGTGTTATCAGAAAGGTTGATGCATTACCTTAATAAATTTATTATAGTCCTTATTAATAATAATAAGAAGATAGAATTCCATAAGGTATTGATTCTTTATTCTATATGATTTAAAAATAAAGAATGCTTTTTCCAAATAAAAAATTGTTAATATATGATTGTGGTAAAATGAATACATTAGTGTCTTTAATTTATAAATTAAAATCACAGAATCATAAAATTATAATTTTCACTTAGATGACAAAAATGTTAGATATTTTTGAAGCAGTATTATCTTTAAGTAAAATTTCATATTTAAGATTGGATGGATCAACTCCAGTAGAAATGAGATAAAAAATAGTTGAAAGTTTTAATTAATTAAATATTACATGTTTTATCTCATCAACTAGAAGTGGAGGAATAGGTTTAAATTTAACTGGTGCAGATACAGTTATATTTTATGATACTGATTGGAATCCAGCAATGGATAAATAGGCTTAAGATAGATGTCATAGAATTGGTTAAATTAGACCAGTTACTATATATAGATTAATAACTAACTCTACGATTGAAGAAAATATATTCTTAAAATCTTTATAAAAAAGATAATTAGATGATTTTGTTATGTAATCTGGTATGTTTAGTCCAGAATAAATATTAAAATCATTTTAACTCTTTGATGATGATAAAATGGATTAAGCTATGAGATAAGTTGAAGATAATGATGATAGATAAGCGGCTTAAAAAGCAATAATTGAAGAATAGAATTATTAAATGAATGGAGCAGAAGAAATTGAAGAAATTGAAAAAGGAGATAATTTAGATTGGCTAATTCCAACTTAATTACCTCCTATTGTTAAATATGGATTAAAAATGAGTGATTGTATTGTTAATGATAATGCAGAAATATAAAAATTACAAGATGAAATGGAAAATGATGAAGAAGAAGAACAAGAAGAAGAAGAAGAAGATGGAGAAAATGATTAAGTAGATGAAGAAGAAGAAGAATAAGATAATTAAGATGAAGAATAAGAAGATTAATCTAAAATTGAACAAGATTAATAATTAATTAACAAAAAAAAGAAAAAAAGTAATAGTAAAAGTGTTGATTATTCTGATTCAGAAAACCATGTTTTTTGTGTTGAAAATTAAAAATGAAATATTGATTCTAATTTCTAAGTATTTCATAATTAAACTAAATTATTGAAAATTCAAAAAAATTTTATTTTTATATTTATACTCTCATTTTTATTATTTTAAAATAATTTTAGACATCTATTCCAATATTTATTTTACTATTATTCTTACTTCTTCTGATTTATGTGTAATTATTTATACTAATTAAGGCATTAAATAAAATAGATGACCCAATTCACTCTATAAAAGAGATGTCTCTGGATATGCTATAAAATCACCACTCAATTACTAAAATAATAGAAATGAATTATCAGGAATAGAAATCTATTTGAGATTATTTAATAAATCTAAAATTGTTTTTTAATTATTCTCTTCATTTGTTATTCCTTTCTCCAATATTTTTTAACTTGCATCTAATAAATATGGTATGACAAATTAATTTTAAGACAATAAACATAGTTTATTTATTGCTATCTAAGAATTCGTAGACATTTCATGCAATTTTTATATAAATTACTAAAATTCTGTAGTTTCTGACAATTAAAGATTGCTTCTATAAATTTCTGTTATTAATTCAATATAATATAATTCTAATGATTAATTTTCTGTTTGTAAATTTTTATTTTAAGATTATTGTTTATCCAAAAAGAGTTTATCTGGTAAAACTTACTATAAAACTTAAAGTATCTTAAGTGAATCTTGTTTATTTGTTTAAAGATAAACTTTTGCTCTTTATAAATAATTTTCAGCCATTAACATATAAATAGACTTATCTTCGTTAAGTAATTCTGAATAATAAATATATTAATCATTATTTCTCATTGTAATTAAGATGTGTTCATATAACTCTGAAAATTAAAAGAATAATTAAAGATTATTATCCAACATTAAATTAAATTGAGAGAAATGCCTTTTTAAAAGCATATGCTTATATTTATCATTTGGAGGATCTTTAATTAATTCTTTGACATTGTAAATAATTCTAGAGATTAATTTTGGACTTTATTTTGATAAAGTATAGGATAGAGTTTGCATTATTTATTTTGGTGCTAAATTATCTTCAAAAAATATTTTGTTTTGAATTAAATCAACTTTCATATGTGCAATTAATGGAAATTCCAAAATTTTATAATAAGTATCAATAACTTGTTCAATTAAAATATCTTTGCATAATTTTAAAATATCATTTAATAGTTCCAAAACATCAGGAGTTATGTGAAGAATCACTGTTTTTAAATATTTGATATCTGATGAAGGAAAATTAAATATTTCAGATATTTAATTTAAAATCTCTGAAAAATTTTAAAGACAAATGACAGGTTAATAAAGAAATAATTCTCTTAATTATTTGGTAGCTTCCATGCTCAATAAAGCTTTACTTTATTAAAAAACGATCAAAAAATCTGGAATAGATTAACGAATTAATATATCTATATCTTAATCCCTAAATAATAATTAATATATCAATTTACTTATTAGGAGAGGATTCTTCTATAACAACAAAATATTTTTTAATTAACTTAATAAATGCTTAATAAACACTCTTAACAGTTTCTTCCCATTAAGAAACATCAAGTTCTTTTGCTTGGTTTTTATCCTAAAATATATGAGTTATTTTGTGCATTAATTCTAAAAATATCTCTTCTAAAATTTTTTTCCATTCAAGATATTAATTTTATGAATTTAAATGAATTAATAGATTACTAAAAATATGAATAGCAGAATGTCTTATTTCAGGAATCGGATCAAGTGCAATTAAAGATAATTTTTGAAATATTTCCTTTAAATTTATTTCTAATTATTCACTTGTTAATTAATTTGATTTATCTTAGTTTGAATTATTTTTAGTTATAAAATCTCCAAGATGCCAAAGCATATTACAAATTTAAAAATTAATATTCTATTCATCTAAAAATAAATAATCAAATATATTACTTGAATTTGATTTGAAATTATCTATAATATCAAATAATTGGAATATTTATCTTCCATCTAAATTAGATAGAAATTAATTAATAATTTATTCAATACATCCTAATCCTTATTTTACAAATAATGATGTTTGCTCTGAACTAATATTTAATAATAATGTTAAAATAGAATCCCAACCTTTATAAGAGATTTCATGGCCATTATTTTGAATCATTTTCAAAATATTAGAAAGAATAATTTCTTTAATTTCATTTTATCTTAGTGTGCACATATCTAACCATGGTTAAAAGAGAGTCTATTAATATATAGAATCTTTCTTAGACCATTTATCCTTAATAAATTAGTTATTTTAATTTTATTGATTCTTTTTGTAGAATTAAGTTAAATGTTCAAAACCTTAAAAAATGATTTAAGATAAAGTATCTGCTGCATTTAAAACTAGATTGGTATTACGTGATGATATTACCGATATAAAATGAGCAATAATCAATTCCCAAAAAACATCTAATCTAAAAACATTAAATTTAATTAATTCAAGTAATTTAGAAAGTGAAAAATATTTTTTCTATTCCCCAAATAAATTTTATTTTTTTTAATCATTAATTTATTATTATTCTAAACATTCAATTGTTATCTAATTTATTGAATCCATAACAGTAATCAAATGTTCATTACCATAAGTGGGACTTTGAGAAAATAGTTAATCTAAACTTTAAAAAAGAATTGTTATATCAAATGTTTTGATTTATTCTTCTTAACTTGAGTTCTTTGCTAGCCTATTCCTTAGATAATGATTTTCACATTCTTCAAAAGTTTTAAAAATACATATCCAACTACTACATTCCAATAAATCTATGTTTATAAATAATCATACTTCCTAAACAATTCGCAATATTTAATACCATTTTATTTATTTGTATATGTTTTTTAGCAAATTCCTATCCTAATACAGGTTTACAAAATTCACAGATAGTCTTTATGAAAGCACTCTATGCAGATTTCATTTAAATTGATCCTACAATATTAATATATTATTGAAAAGCAATTAATAGATTTTATAATGTTTATTCATCTAGTTCTTTCATTAATAGATATTTAATAGCTCTTAAATTATGTTTCCAAGTTAATTCTATAAGCTAACAGAATTTATCAGTTGATTATAATTTAATAATGTTTCCTAATGATATTTTTTATTAATCAGCATAAACACATAATGAATTTACAAATCTTGATTAAAATTCACTCAACATTCTACAAACTAAACCATTATCACTAGGATATACTTCACAATCATCTACTAAATTAATTGTAGGATTGGCTAATTCAATTAACCTTTTTTATTCTATTTCATTTGGTTCTTATACTTCTTTAGCGATATTCGATAATGTTGTTATAATCTCTAAAATAATGTTCTATTTTATAATTCGATTATTTATTTACTTTATCATTGTTTAGTAATAAAACTAATTTATTCAAAAATACTTGATTTTAAACAAAATAAATTAATGTTTAGAATGCTAGATTTTTATTAATTGAATGCTCATTTTATTTAATTTAATTTAATAAAACACTCCAAACAACTTCTGATTATTCATTTTCAACTAATATTTTTAAACATTTATAAGTTTCAATAACAGCAGAGCTTTTTAATTATGGAGTAGCAATAATCTTCTTTAAAATTAACATTAGATTATCACTTAATAATTCTTAAATTGTTTTATACTAGAGAAAGAATTTCCCCATACTACTAAGAAAATTATTAATGCTAATTAATCCAAATTCTCTATCTAATGGAACCAAAAGTGGATACCAATGAGGTCTTACATTATCACTTAATTTGATAAAATCTGATAACATAGAATGTAAATTTTAAAATTCTTTAGAATGATCAATTGGTTAGGTCATTTATTACTAATTTTATTCTTATTGATTATCTAAATCTAAAACAACATTCATTTCATCAAAACCTTATCCTGCAATAATTAATTGTGTTGAATCTGAAAGTAATTCAATTAGTCTTGATAAGGAAGCAGCAGCTGGTCCATGAATTATAGGGATTTTAGAATTCTTCATATATAATACCAAGGTTAAACACTAAAAAAAATGAATGATTATTCTACTTTTTCAACAAAACTAAAATTGCCAAAATTGATAAAATCTGAATGTATAAAAGTATTAAAGCTTTAGATAAGTTTATAATAAAGTTCTTCTTTTTGTATATCTTTAATTTTCAAAAAATAATCAAGAACATCCTCAATCATTTAAATCTAATAAATTAGAAGTGTTCAATTACATCATTAATAACTTTCAAATTGATTAGTTTGAGTAGAAAGGATATAAAGGAAATATGAAATTTAGCAGATCTTAATTATCCTTATGCTGGAATCAAACACTTTTATATTTCTTATCTTGGTATGTCTTATACTCCATTTTTTTTGTTTTCTTCTAATACTCTTTAGAAATTATTCAGAGCATCTTTCATTGGAATGTACTTTTTTTTAGAAGAGAGTGATTGCCTAATGAAAGCGATTTCTCGCAAGGCTAATTAAACTCTAGATTCTTGCATTTCAAATAAGTAATTGAAATAATTTATTCAATTCTTTTTATATACTCTTTCCGAGGTCACTCTTGGTAAGTTCATTGAGATAGGATTGGATGTTAATTTCTTAATCCTGTTGTAACCCTCTCTGGATACTATATAAAATAGTTGTAATATGAATATAATTTTGTTTCCATTTCTTAAAAATATCCATTATCATTTTACATGCACTGAATTAAAGATCTCTAAGTTATTTATTTTTCTTATCTTTTAATTATTTTGAAATTTCAATGTGTTTATCAATATGTTCAACAATTGTATCATCATTTCCTTAACATAATTGTAGCAACACTTTTGATAATAATCCAATCTGCTATGCTCCATGTTTTGTTTATTATTTATTATTATTCTTATTAATTAAATGATGAAGCATTTCAAAACTTTATTTTGTATTCCTTTCCAATTTACAAGTACTTCTTAAAAATCCTTCATTAATTAGTTCAAAATCATTTAATGGAATTTCTAAGTCTCTTATTAAATTACTGAACGAACTAAATAATGCATCAATCTCATTATTATTATTATATATTGTGAATAAAAGATCCTTAATTCTTTTACGTAATCCTGTATTACTTAATTAAGTTATTGATTCAATAATTTTTTAAGAAAATCCTTAATTTAATACTAAATCAAGTAAATTACATAATTCTTCATTATCTCCTAAAGAAGATTTACTTAATTAACTAAGCATGCTCCTATTTTTACTTTTATTATGTCTTGTTGATTGTGAATTATAATTACTACATACAGAATTGAAACATTTAATTAATTTATCATCTAATCCAACAGAGAATCGACTATGAACTTCACTTGTTCGAGTTGTAAAATTAGATTAACATTTCTTTAAAGATTCATTTTCTTCTTATACAGTTTCTAAATCCTATAAAGATTTTGCAAATAATGATGTTAATTATGATATTTATTCATTCATTGAATTAATTTAATTTGATTAAAGAGATATTTTCTCATTCATTTATTAACTCAAACTTAACAATTCTTTTCGTTAATCATCAATAATTTTATATTCTTCTTATAATTTATTATTTTATTCTTTCAATTTATCATACTCTTCGTTATTAAATGCTTTATTTTTTAATAAAACCACTTCAGTCTCTTTTTATTATAGTTAATATAATAAATCTCTCTTATTGCTAAAATCTATTAGAGTTTCAATCAATTGTTCATAATCGAATTCTTAAATTTCATTTTCCTAATATAATGATTATGCCACTGCAACCAATTCAGATGTAGGTTACTTATAACTATGCTATATTATCAATTTCAGAGCCACCTTATACTTATTTAATTGATCTTCTAAATTATTTATTATATCACTCTACATAGCCAAACTCTCCTCATATTTATTACATTGATCTGTCAAATAATTAGTTACAGCCTCTTATAAAATCTATACTTTCTCTAAACTTTTTCTTTATAGTTTCTTCCATAATCTCATCATAGACTCCTCTTTCTTACATTCTTCCTCAAATAATTTTTGATAGTAATCAGTAGTTGTTATAGGTACAATACTCTATTAAGTCATTTGCTTATTTGATGTTTAGAGTGGAGACGAATAAAGGCTTCTTCTCTCCTTTTATCTCTATACTACAAATTAATTTAATTGAGCAATTTCTTCTATCTATTTAGTAATAATATGTTTTTATTAAGCAATTTATTTAGTTAATTCTGCATTCCTAAATTAGACATTCTATTTACTTTTGTAATTCAGCATCTAAACTATTTTAAGTTTGAATTTGCATATTGTTTACAACATTTAATAGTTTCTCTTTTTCTTCCATATTGTTATTTAGAAGATGTTAAATATCGTTTATGACAGAGATCAATTCATTCTATTGTTGTTCATTAAGTTTACTCAGAAATTTAGTTAATCCACTATGTCTTTCTAAATTTACTTTATAGTTATTAAACATTTTAAAAAAATAATCGTTTAATATTTAAAAATACTAATAATTCTAAATTATATATAGAAAATATATTTTTTATTATTTGAATTGTTAAAAATTGAAAATTTACATATCAATTTTAATCTATTTTCTATATTTTCTTGATTACTTCTTAATAATAAGATATATTATATCTGAAACAAAGTTCAATATTTATCTTACTCTCTTTTATTAATCTATAGTTCCATTAACAATTTCCAAAGAACTCTTTACAAAATATTTATCCTATACTAGTATTCATAAATATTAAAAGTTTTGCTTTTCCAATTTCTTCTGGGTTTTCTTCAAGGAATTTTTTGATTACATTATTTTCTAATGTTTTTTTAAGTTCAGAATCATCAGAATTTTTGATTGTATTTTTTATAAATTACTAAAGTTGTCGAGCAAAACATTTTGAAAGGTTCTTTGTTTCCCCAGGAATTTTAACTACAATTTAAGACTAAGAAAATTTTTTAATCAATTACGTTTCCTTTATGTTTTTTTTTTTTTTGTTTAACAGAATGATTTTCCTAATTATAATCAAAGTTGTACACCTCACCATCAATTTAAACATCTTTGAATTCAACAACTTGATTATCCAAACCTAATTTTATAATAATATCGATACCATCATCATCTTATGAAAAAGAATTTTTTTTAAAGAGTCCACATGGATAATCTATTCAAATTAAATGGTTACATTCATTATCAAAGCTATAGGTGGGACCTTCAGATAATTCTTTTAAACTTTCTATATTATTGTTATTGTTGTTAAAATTCTCAAGAACCTCAAATTTCTCTGTCATATTAAATGAATACTGAAGATTATAAAAAAATAAAGTGAAGTATAATGTTAATTCTATTAAAGAAGTTAAATTTAACATGATGTTCTTATTTTAATCAAATTATAATACTTTTATTTATAAAAAAAAATTATATCATATATTTTAATTTGATATAAATTTTATAATATAAATACATAAAATATATATTATATCACACTTTTTTTTCATGAACTTTTTAAAAGTAACTTTTTGACAAAGTTCTTTCTTATTTTTTTTATTTTTAAGAAGGCTTATATCCCTTGACATAATGTTACTTTTAAGAAATGGGCTTAGATTATTATTATGATTTAGATTTAATAACTTTTTATTTTGGAGTATCTTCTTTATTAATTTTACTATATGCTGATTCCTCTATTCTTATTGGTCTTTCACCTTCATTAGCTTTTCTTAATTCATCTATGATAGCTTATTCATTATTATGATATAAACTAAAAATGTAACCTTTTTTACCAGCTCTTCCAGCTCTTCCTGCCCTATGTAAATAATCACTAGTAGATTTAGGGAAATCAAAATTAATTATAGCGTCAACAAATGGGAAATCTAAACCTCTTGCACCCAAATCAGTAGTAATTAAAATTTTACATTATTAACTACGAAATTCTGCAACATTTTATGATCTCATTCCTTTAGGTAAATCACCATGAAGAGACACAGTTTTAATAGCATTTTTCTTACAAAAGAATTCAAGAAAATGACAACTAGAAATTTCATTACAAAATATAATAATAGAACCTTTAAATTTAGATTAACATTCTTTATATAATGCCATAAAAGGTTCACTTTTATCAAGTGTAGTACAATGTACAAAATCATGAGTTAAATTTTCAAGATGCATATGCGATTATTTTTCAATTAATATTTAAATTTCATTCTAGTATTATTTATCTATAAAGTTTTTAACTTTTGTACTATATGTAGCACCAGAATAAGTGATTGTAGTATTTTTATCTTTAAAATAGATTGCTAATTTTTTTAGATCATCTTACATAGATGCATCTAATAATGTATCAATTTCATCAACAACATAATGAGACACTCTAGATAAATAAATAGATTATGCACTTCTATGTCTCTACAATCTTTCTAAAGTAGTTACTACTAAATCTACTCCATTTTCTAAATAAGTTTATTCCCTCTTAAAAGTACCTTTACCTAATGCTATTGTACTTAATTTCATTGCTTTAGTAAATTCTTAACTTACATCTTCTACTTATTCTGCTAATTCTTTTGTAGATACTACTACTATTGCTCTTGGCTTATTTTATTCAGTCAATATTTTATTTTATTCTTCTTCTTCTTATTTTAATTTTCCAAGTATTGGTAATAAATAAGCATATGTCTTACCTGTTCCTGTAGGTCCAATTAATAATCTTACTTTATTTTCACATGTGAATAACATATCTTATACTGGAGTAGCTGTATGTATTCCTTTAGTATCTAGAATCTCTAAGATTTTTGGATGTAAAGGATATTGTTTAAACACTGGCAAGTTTGTTTTAGCAAATCTATAACATAATTTAAACATCTTAAATTTATTTTAATATTTCAATATTTTTAATATGGATATCCTGAATTGCTCTATTAATTTTGAGCTTTCCATTAATTTAAATGCATAAGAATTCCGTCTTAAAATTCTTTGAAAGTGATTTCTTGACTTCTATCTACATCAAAAACCCAAAATGCCTAATTAATGTCTTGGTCTGTCAATTAACTATCAATTTTTCTATTTTATTTATGTTTTAATTACTTTACCTAAGCATTATTCCAAATTCTTTCACATCTAATGTCTATGAGTCTGTTTTATCGTACTTTCTGAATAGTTCAAAAATATTAATCTTATATTTTTCTATTGCGATCACCAATTTCTAGATTGTTAATTTTGCTCTCTCTTATGCTAAATTTTGAGTTTGTTAAGATTAATAATTTGGCGCATAAGCTGGTGGCACATAAGCTGGTGGCACATAAGCTGGTGGTACATAAGCTGGTGGTACATAAGCTGGTGGCTACTAATATACTTGATTATATTATTATGAATTGTTCATTTAAGGATAAGGAGGATACATACCATAATCTTATTAATGTTAAGACCCAGTCATTCCTTATTAAGAAGAAGGTTATTAAAATTATTATGGATATTGTTATGGATACTATTATGATTATTATGGATACTATAGTGGTTATTAAGGATATTATTATTATGGTTATTATGGGTACTATGTTTATGGTTATTATGGATATTATTATTATTTTTATGAATTCAAATTTGATGTTTGGTTTTAATAAACTTATTATTATTAATGTGTGGATTATTTTTAATATTATTCTTATTATTACTTTATTTATGATCCTTCAAATTCTGGAACAACTTAATCAGAATTATTAGGATTAATTTTTGGCATTTCTACTGTTCCTTTTCTTATTAAATTATTCTATTTAGATTAGGTTTTCATTGACATTTACACTTAATTCTCTTCTAACCATTTTTTAAATTCATTCAATTCAATTGAATTACTTCCATCTAAATCAATTTTGTTAAAAATATATTCAATTTCTTCTCTTTCTAACTAAGGATCTATTTCATGTAATAATAATGTTAATCTAATAATAGAATATATAATACTCTTTCATATCAAGTGATTTGTCTCCTGATTTATCATATTTATGAAATACTTTTTCTAAATCAATTTTATCTTTCATAACTTTAAATCTCAAATCTTATACCAAATACATAGCCTTATCTTCTAATTACTTAGCTTGATTTGTATAAAATGAAAAACTCTAACCAAAACAAGAATGTCTATATAATTGATCCCATCCTAATCTATCTGATTCCTCTAATTATAGACAACCTTTAATCATATCTTGAATCATAGGGTCAACATTTTTATCTTGTGGAAATTTCAATGGCTACGACATAATATTCTTCACCAATTCAGGAATTGATCTGGCTGTCCATGGAGCTAGGAAGCATATCTCTACATTTAATTACTCTAGCCATATAGAGCCTCATAGAATATAAAGCCTAAAGACCAAATGTCACTCTTAGATGTATATTTATCTGCCTTTAATAATTAGAGAGACTAATAAAGAGGTGTACCCACATTAGAAACAATCATTTATTTTTAAAAATTATCTAAAGCTTTTGAAAATCCAAAATCTAAATCACAATTCTCATAATATATACCTGCTATTTTATATATGCCTTTGTTAATAAGTATGTTGGCTGGTTTCAAATCTCTATGGATGATTCCCTTTTTTACCAATTCTATCATGCCTAAAAGTACATCTATGAAAAGCTACATGGCTTCTTTTTAAGGTAAAAATTTCTTTTTTTTCAAAAGACTAAGTTTAATTAAACATATACTGTTGCAAATCTCCCCCATCACAAAATTCTTAGACTATGTAATAATTATTGGCTGTTTCAAGTACATCAATCAGTTTTACAACATTATTACCTTATAGATCTCTCATTATTTTTATTTCATTCATTAGTCCATCCCTCAAATACTCATCCTCATTAATCACTGATTTTGAAAGCATCTTTATAGCAACTAAATCTTTTGTCTTGTCATCTACACCTTTAAATACCTTAATATTAGTATTTTTATTACTTATCCATAAGATCCTTCTCCAACTTTATCACTCATTTTGAAAAGGAATCGATCAACTTTCTTTTCTCCCATTTTATTTTAAATTATATATTTATAAATTTTTCACTAAAATTCATTATATCCAAAAACTTAGCTAGATTACCATGGATTGATGCACAAACTTCCATGAGACCCGTTTTAGATAATAATCATGACAATTATCAAAATTAAAAATGCTAAACTTAACCAAAATGCCCATGAAATCCAACAACCAATAGTTGAATATTAAGAATTAGCAAAATTGTGTATTTTCTCTATAGACTAAATTATAATCAATAAAAAATTACATTATTGATTCCTTTATCATTAAAGCACTCATTTTCCAAATATGACTCGAATTTTGAATCAACATTAATCAAACCATTCTATATAATTATTGAAAAATAATTACATTTCCACTTATGTTGTAGAAATAAAGTGATCCAAATGCGATACACAAAATAGCCACTATGACTGCAATAAGAATAAATATTTTAGGTTATTTGATTTGTGATACATTCAATGATTAAAAGTTCTAAATATTAAATAGATTTATACTCTGCTTTTAATTAAATAAAGATAAACAAATAAAACAAGTCCAATTACACAAATCCAAAATATAATAATACTAAACCATTTTCTATACAAATAAATGTCTTAACTATCTTCAACTAGTTAATTAACATCAGCAGCTGAAAATGAACTGCATTCAGCAGATGGATTAACAGCAATTCTTTTGATAGCTTCTAAAGTATATGAATCAGAACCAACTTCATATGATAGATATTTTGGAATAGAATGAAGAGTTGATAGAATTCCATTTTCCTCATGTATCTTTTTTGCTTATTAAGTATCAATTTTAACAACTTCATTTTTAAAGTTACCAAAATTATCACAACCAGTAGCTGGTTTCTTTAATAAAGGATAAGATTATTCTGATTCAAAAGTTGATGTTGTAACATCATTAAAACAAGGAGCTGAATTCTAACTTGTTTCTGCATCTCCTGGAATAATTGCAAATGCTACAATAGGATTTCCTTCATAAGATTTTCTGTACCATTTATCACCAATTTTGACAACTTAAGTATTGATTGAAGTAGGATTTGGATCTGCTGTTGGATCCTCATTTAATAATGTTAAGTCTGACAATGGACAATTCCTTGCAGGATTTCCATCAGTTGGAACACAAATATTACCACATTATTTAAATCCAACACTACATTCACTTCCATTCCATTTAGTCCAACCGAGAGTCAATTTCTAACAAACTCTTCCTCCATTCCAAATTTAAAATTATCGAGGACTTTAACCGTCTATTGAATTACATCCACTTCTAGCCCAACAAAATCCTTGTTTTTTGATTTCTTAATCACAAATACATCCAGAATCAATTCCTGGCCATTCTCCTAATGTTGTTATTGTAAATCCCTCTGGACATAGTTCTGTCTCTGATTTATGTTAGAAATGACTATGCATACTAGATGGTCTTGGAGGATGAGGTGATACTATATCAGCAATTGGAGTCAATGCTTAATTGTGGCTCAATGATTATAATACATTATTTATTGGTGCTTAATTAAAATCTCTTTCTTTTTAAGCTATTATCATGCCCATAAATCCTAATATTGCCACCAAGAATAAAATTGGAATAAAATATACACACCAATCAATACAATAAGAACCTTTACTCTTTATTGTAATTTCTTATTATTATTATATTACTGGATTTTATTATATTTAAGATGATTAAACTTAACCTGTTGTTATAACTTTGTGTTCATACACTGTTTATAAACCTTATTAAGGTGTTTAATAAATGTAATTACTTTGAGGTTGTTATTAATAACCTAAAGAACCTTAAGGATTTGTCTTTGGTGGACTTCTTTAAGCATATGGATCAACTCCTTAGTATTAAGGAGGGAAAACTTATTATTATTGTTATTAAGCTCCAAACATTGTTGGCTGTTGCTAATTTCTATTGTCAAACATTAAATAAAATTTATTTTTGAATAATAAAATTTAATATCCCCCATTTCCGATGTTATCTTGGATCTTTAAAGAAAAAAATATTTATAAACTTTTAATTAGAACTAAAAATATTATTCATTCTTTTCGTAAAGAATTTCCAAATAACAATTTTTTTGATTAATTCATATAGTATCTTCTTTATGATCTTGTACTTTCTACAAAACTTGTCATCTTATTAGGAGACATTGATGATTTTTAAGGTGTTTCAAACTCACTAAAATCATCATATTATAAATTCTTTGTCGTCATCAAATCATTAAATTCTTTCATTAATCCTTACATTATTGCACGTAATTTTTATAAGTATTTTTATTTTTTTTATTTTATTTTTTATTTCTCATCTGCAAATATCTCAGATGCTTTTGAATAATTATTCTAAATTTTAGAAGATTCTTAATAAAACTTTACTAATTCATTTAATTCCTCTTAACTTATTGAAAGTATATCATTAACATTTTTCATTTAATCTAATTCATTATTTTTACTCTATTGCAAAGCATTATAGCTTTCTTATAATTTTTCATTTTCACCATCTAATAAATTTTTCAAATCACTTTTTATATTAGTAAACCTATAAGTAATACAAGAAAGACAATTCTCTAATTCATTCTCAATTTATTTCTCTAAGTCTTATTAAATTGCATTTGTAATAGGTTAAAATTCAATCTAATTAAAAGACTCCAATTATTATTTCACCTAATCATGAAATTATTCAACATTCTTTCTTTAATGAGTAACATGATCTTCCAAAAAACAATCAGCACAACCTTTTCACATTAAGTATAATACCAATCTTCTATTATGTTTAACATATTGGATCTACACAAATATATTTGATTCTCTAAGAATCATGGTTAGGATTTTAACAATTGATCATTGAATTCATTAATTTTATTAACAAGAAAGCGCGAAAGAATTTGCGGTAATTATTAATTTTTGTTTTTCACTCAAATACTATTTTCATTTTAATATTGTATATATATTTGATTTGTCAACTCCTTATCAAAAAAGAAATCAACTCTTTACCATTATATTTATATTATTTAAATTAATTAATGAGATAAAATAAACTTTGTTTTCACAATTAAACAGTACTAAATGTAAATGATCCCAAATTTCTTATGGATTAATTTGACATTAAAATCTCATCCTGAATTTCATTTTCATCACTTAACTTATATTCCTCTTAACTCCCTTTTCTCATATGCTTGATATTTGGAAATGGAATATCTATCTTCTTTTTATATACTAAATGATTAAGAACCTTTAATTTTGATATAAAAAATAAAAATTCTTATAACAAACTATTTGATAACAAACATTATTCAGGTTATTATAATCCAATCTATTTCCAAAACTTTTTTAATTATTCATATTGCTTGTTACTTTCACAAAATATTTCATATAGATTTAAAGCATAACATCTTCCCAAAGTAGCATAAGAATCTAATATCTTAGTAATCTCTTAACAAATAAATGAATGAAATTTTAGCAAATCTATATATATAACTTTTTGTATTTCAATATAGTCTTTATTGTACGTTAATAACTGAATTGCATAATTCATAATGTTTTAGATTTTATAAATCCAAGTACACATAAGTTTATGATCCATCTCATATTTAGCTTAATAAGGATAATTATTTAAGGAGATGGCATAATATAAATCAATGTTCTTGGAAATGAGTTATAAATAAAAATAACACTGTTAAACATACATAAACTAAGAGCTTGGTGTTTAAGAAGGTATTTCATTTTATTAAACAACCAATGAATTTTATTAACATTTCTTAATCTAATCCGTTATTCCATTCAAAATTCCAATGTTTTATAACCAAGGCATCTTAGCACTCCTTATTTCGTTAGATATATATAAGCTAAGTTCCTCTTTTAATAATAATTAATGAAGTATGGTTAATAAATGAATCACTTGTTTTGGTTCAAAATCAAATGTGATAGTTTTTAAGAACTCAAACAAATTCAATATATGGACTAATAAATGATGATTCAAATTTACATTCACTTTTTATTAAATACTGGGCAAGTATTTCAATGGATTCTTGAAGGTTAAATTCATTATTAGGTTTTAGCACACTACCTAAAACTTACAGGAATTAATCTCTTTAACTCAATTATTGTGGATATTGCTTTTTTGTGAATCTTGAGAAAAAAGACATTTATAACACTTTTCAATAAGTCAAATAAAAATATGAAGTTTATAAAGTTTTAATTATCCATTAATTCTATGGTAAGGTTAAATTACTTTAAAATAACAAATCTAATTCCACTCTATGAATTCTAAATTTGTATTAGAATCTTCAACAATAAAGAAACTAACAATTGAATTAAATTTAATCTTCAATTAAAAGCTCTGGATTAAGAATTTAAATATTCAATCATTTCAAGAAAATAAATATATATATGGAATTTATTTATTTTTTAATGTATTATGTTAATGTATCAATAGACATTTCCTTCAAAGGTTTATTTGAACCATTCAATAGCTTCCTTTTTGCTAACTCTCTAAGCAGTTCCAAGTCTTGCATTTCTTGACTTTCTTTAAGCAACTCTTAAACCTGGTCTTGATAAGACAACATAGAAATCCATACCAAAAATACCTACGCAATATTTTAATTATTAATACCTGTATATGGGTCATATTTCAATCCCAAATCAATATGTTCTTAAATACCAAAACCAAAGTTTCCTGAGTCAGAGAAATTTCTCTTTTTTAATTCCATTTCCTTAACTCTTAATCCTCTAAATAAGATGTCTTTAGCTTAATCACCTCTAATTGTGCAAAACACTGAAATCTTTTCGTTTCTTCTAATACCGAAAGATCTGACTGTGTATCGTGCCTTACCAAATACAGGCTTTTATCCTGTTAAATCCTCTAAAACTTTAGCAGCTTTAGTCAATTTATCACCAGACTCACCAGCACAAATGTGAACCATTAATTTTTCAATTCTAATCTTTCTCATCACATTCTCTTTTGTTTCTTATGGTTTGACAACTTTAGCTGGACCTTAAGTCTTTGCTTCTGGCTTTGCTTATTATCCTTTTCCACCTTTTGCTTATTGTTAAGACATCTCAAATTTAATTAAAAAAATCTTTATTTTTTAAATCACACATTTAATATTTTGTATGCTTATTATTTATTTCTATCTTCTTGATAAATTGAAAAAGAAATATAATCATTAACAATTAATCTAGATAATTTTATATATTTTTGCATGTTTTAAACAAAAGAGCTTAAACTATTAAAATTCACTATCAAAAATAAAAGAACAAAAATTCAAAAAAAAATAAATATCGAATAAATTAACAAAAGAAAATTTTCAAAATTATATTTATATAATTTATTTTTGATTTCTCTTCATAAATATAAAACTATTCCTATTTATTAATACTGTATAATACATTAAAAATGGGGAATGTCTTAGCTATTATCAGCTCTCATAAGTATTATCCTTTACTACTAATTTAAATGATTAAATTCATTTTTGAAAATCATCTAGTCCTCAGTCATTAGGCAAAATACAAATTCGAAGATTAAAGAAAACACATCGACAAGACTATTTTCTTGTGTAAATCTAATGAATAAATCCATACTAGAAATATTTATAGTTCTGATTCTACATTATTAAAAATATATTAAAAAAGATGTTCATTGTAGCATTCTAATTTATTATAATATTATGCAAGCATACAAAGATAACCTACATTTTGTGGAAGCTTAGAAACCTAAAACTTTTTCTTTGAATATGTTCCATAAACTTTATCAAAAGTTTGAGATAAAAGAGAGAGACCATTTTTAGAAATTGATATTTGGAAAGGAAAATTATATTGAATAAATTAAAGTATAAGAATAAATGGTAGATATTTCATATCACTTGGAGGATAACTAATATTTTAATGACAACATAAATTTGAAAAATATTTTTGTTAAAGAAAATAACACAATAAAAATTTTAGATTAATTAAATTAATAACTAACTGACTACTTATTAAAATCAGATTTTTATGATTTGGTTGAATCCATCGTTGAGCTTATGACAAAAAACAGTAAATAATTATTATTATATTTTAGAATTAAATAAAGATATAAACAACTCTAAAATCTTTAAGGAATTAATATTCAACATAATTATTAACTGCAGTATTAAATAATCATCCTGAAACAGGCCTAATTTTAAAGAATTAGAGGAGTCTATTAAAAATAGAGAATTATAGCAGAAAGTTAAAAAAAAAAATTTCCTTTGTTTTGTTTTAAAGTACTTCAAAACTCTAATTAATGTAAAAACCCCAAAAGCATAAGTGTCATCTTATAATCAATAAAAACTCAATTCTGAAATTAATTTCCCTTAATTTTAAGTTTAGTTCAACACAAATAAAATGAGTAATTCAAATTAAGAATTTGAATAATTAGATGTTTGTAATACTTATTAAAAAAACATATAAGAAAAATTACAAAACCCTAAAAAATTCAATATGAACGGTTAAACAAAAGTTATTTATTATGTTTCATTTTCGGATACGTTTAGAAGAAATCAAAATTTATTTGCAAAATAATTATGCTGTTAAAATAAAAATCAATAAAAAATAATATTATTGCTTAGTAAAAAATATTTTAATTTAAGCTACTTTTACAGAATAAGATCTAAATTTGTTTTATGTTGATATTTATACATTTTTGTGTCTATATAGTTTGAAAAGAAAAATCTTGCGATTGAATGAAATATCTTTGAATTTTTATAGATTCTTTTGATTTGTAACTTCTCATTAATAAATAATAACATTTACTTGCATATTAATAATTTGATAATTTTCCAAATGGAGAATATATATTCCAAATTTAAAATGAAATTTTCAGAAAATTCACTGCGAAAATCCTAAAACCCAAACCAATTCTTTAAAAATTTCCTTAAATAGATAATAAGTTTCATAATAGTGGAGTACTTCAATTCATAGTAAAATTTAATTAAATAAATTAATATTTTTGATTATAATTAAAATATAATGTTTATTTAATCCAGATAATTTTTCATTATTTTAAAATTTTTTCAATTTCGAAAGAATTGCTCTATAATAGTTAAAAATGATTGTTCAAGTCATTTTCTTTCATTTACTTGAATTCAAATCTAAGAAATCTAAAATTTCTATAGAGTCAATACTTCCTAATTTGAAATGTAAATAATGATCGCTAAATGGAAATAAAGCTTGAATGATTCAAGATTCCTCTTTTTTTTTAGCTTTCTCTATGTTTTCCAAGATTTTCATCTATATCTAAAAATAGTAGTAATACAAATATAAAAAGAAATTTGGATTTGATTGTATAATTTATTTGAATAATAGCATAATTTTATAGAGTAAGATGAAAATTATCTCTTTTGAAATGAAATACGATAGAAGAGGCCATTTAATTTCACATGAAATCAAAATGAATATTTAGCATTATATTATAAAACAAAAATCTTAATTAAATAAAATATATATATCAAACAATTCATGCAATAATACCTAAAGGATTTATTTCATTTAAGACTAGCAGAGTTATTAGACCATTTATACTTTCATGACACAAAGTCTTCGATAAACATTGTAATAGTGGCGATATTTTTGACATAAAAATTAAATCTCGTATTTTGGCCATCAAATTACCATAGAGAAAATTCAGATGTATATATAATGATATTTCTTAGGAGGTCTACTTAAATATTTGCGGATAACTTTTCTCGTGGATCACATTTTAAAAACCACTAGAAATAATAAACTCAAACTAATTAAACATTATTATTAGTATTATATACACATTTTTGCATATTACTATGCTTGCAGTTTTCACCTTTTCTCTTTATAACTTGAAAATAATTTCAAAATTGTTTACAATATATATTTCATACTTTTAGTTGATAATCTTATATCATACTGAAATGCATCACTTAAATTAATAATTTGATTTATCATTAACAATAATAATTTGTATACCGCCTTACATTAACTATTTAATTATTGTATATTGTTCTCGTAACTACTTTATCATTTCATAATAACATATGCTTAGGAGATACTCTTTATATAATTATTTTATGGTACTTGCCGATTTTTTATATTTTATAACATTTTCTCAATTTAATTCTGACTATGTTTCCAAATATTCATTATTACTATTATCAGTTGTTTATTTTATAGATGCAATTCTAATGTAACCTTATTGTATAAAGATCAATGTATTTATTCTCTTAATATTATAGTTGTTTTATATTGGAGCAACAGGAGTTCTTCTAGTATCAGTTATAATAAAAATAGTTCTTTGGGAAAAGTCTTTATATACTCAATTTTATGGGATAGTGATATTAGTTCCTCTTTGTTCATATATCTTTATGTAAATTTATTTAATAATATCGGATGATATATTTTAATAAAAGCTTTCAATATCTTTAATATTATATTTAGGTGAAATAATTAACCACTACAATTAAGTTTCAATTTAAAAGGGTGTTGGAGATTATATTATAAAAAGATTTTTAGATGTAAACGAATTAAATGCTTTTAATATATTTTAATTGTTAGATCTTTATATAAGAAATGATGATAAAAATGCTAATGATGAAGAATTATAATTATATCGAATCCTTTTGAAGCATGAAATTCACGGAACTTATCTTTAGAGTCTTTTAGAAACAAAAAGGAATTTAATGAAAAATAAAAGTCATTCAATATTTTTTAAAACTATAGGTTTTTTAATTAGTAAAAAATATGATTAACAAATTAAAGATTTATATTCTGGAGAATAAAAATCATCTTAACATTATCATTATTAAATTATTAAAATCAAAGAGGCAGATAATCTATTCTAAAATAATATCAATTTATTTTTCAATTTGATAGAGTAAAAAGTTTGGATTTGGGATTAATTATAAAAAGGATATGAAAATATTGAGAATTGTGTAAATGACATAAAATAAATGTACTAGATTCTTATAAAATTAAAATCATAATTAGTTTCAATAATATCAAATGATGAGATAGAATCGATTCTAAAATTATCAACTTTAAAAAGACTTAATTTTGTAGAGTTAAGATATTTATCACTTTTCTTTTCATATATTTCAAATGATTATTAATAAACAAAAGCTATTGAAACTCATATTGAAGATTTAATTAAATAAGAAAATAATTATTCAAATTCAACATTTTTGAATTCAAAGATTATGAATAATGATCTTATCATAATTAGTTCAAGTATCTTAGAATAAACAGGATAAATAATTAAATCAAATACTGAAGAAATTAGTAGATTTTTTGGATATGAAGAAACAATAAAAAAACAAAATTTAACAACAATTAACTTATTTATGCCATAATTTATTAGTCAAGATCATGATATTTTTGTTTAAAAATTTATAAATAAAGGTAATTCTAATTTATACAATAAAGGAAAATAAGTCTTTTGTAAAGATTAAGAAGGTTTTATATTTCCAATTATTTTAAGTTTTTTACACATAAATGAAAAATCAGAAGATTTTGTATTAACAAGTGCATTACAAAAAGTGCAATCGAATTAAGATTATATTCTTTTTGATTGGAATGGAAAAATTTTAGGAATTTCTAAATATGTCTATTAGCTGTTAATAAATAATCATAGTAATACTAATTATAGTACAACTTAATCAATGTTTTCATAAGTGGATTTATCTATTTATGAATGTTACATATAATTTTGGATCCCTAATATAATTTCTCTAATTCAAAAATAAACACTTGATCATGAATAATTTAATAAAGTTATGATTGAAATATCATTACAAACTAACTTTCTGTAATATTTACAATTTTTTAAGTAATATCGATAAATTAATCCTAATTTTTGTAGAGATGCTTATTATTTTGAAGAATTCTTATAATATATTGATGAAGAAATACCCAAAAATTCAGCTTTGAATATAAAAATCTAATTTGAAATTTTTATATAATCTCATAATTTACCTACAGATTAGTTATATTATATTTGCAGTATGTCTAAATAACAAAAAGAAGTCTAATCTATGGTTAGTTTTGACAAGACAGCATTAACTTAATAAATTCAATTTCCTATTAGTTTAACATCTCCAAAATTTATAACAGAAATAGAAAAAATAAATGATGATTTCTCATAGACTAAGAGAATGTTAGAAAAATAAATTTTATTAATTAAACATGGATAAAAAGATAAAAGTGAAGAACTAATCTTTTCCAAAATTGAGAGTTAATTGGCTATAAATAAAGTAAATAAAAGCATTGAAAAATTAAAAAAAAATGAAATATAAGAATTTGATGATTAAAAAATTTCATAATCAAGTCGTTAGTCAAGAAATTCTAACTTTTAAGTTTAAGATTAAATAAGATAGTTATAAAATAATCATAGATTTTGTTTTTCAATTAAAAAAATTTGGATTATCACCATATTCTTTTATGTTATAATGTATTTTTTAGTCTTTTTAATGTTAAGGATTTTATCATAGTAATTATAATTATTAGAATATGATATTGAATTGGTTAGGATTCCTGATAAATTCAATCGTTTATATTGTTCATTTGTTACTATTGGATAAATGGATTTAGAAAGATCACTTTTGGGTAAAGAATATGGAAAATACCTTAATTATAGAATTGTCAATCATGGAAAAATTATAAGAGTTGAAATGGAAGAAATGATGATTACTTTAAAAAACAAATTCTCAATTTTAGAAAATGAATAAAGACTATCAAATTTAACTGTTAGATTACTTAATCAATTTACTTATTTTGAAACTGAATTTACAATGATATAATTTGATATGATTGCCGATTCTTATACTCAACAAATATATCAGTACATAAGTTAAGTAATAATTTATTCATAATCTAATCACTTTTCTATTATTGATCAATACTTCAAACTTTAATTTTTAAAAGCAAATCTGGCTAACTAAATATCTGCTTCGTAAAATTTAATTAATGAAATTATAGTTGAAATTTAAAATTCTTAATAGATGACTAGAATTATACTATTTATTTTATTGAGTTTCTAGCTTACTTTTTTAGTCGGGTGCATTCTTTGTATAGTACATTTATGGAAATAACCTTTTGGAATTGTTTTATTGTAAATCTAATTGTTAAGTTAATTATCTGATAAATAAATTAAAACTAGTATAAGTGTTGCTAAATAAGCAAAATAAATTATCAATCATTCATATATGTGGAAAAGAACTAATTATCTGAATTAATATTATAATAAAACTTAAAATAGGGAACCATAAGATATTTTTATCAATATTTAAAATAATTTAAAAAATAATAAAGTTAAAAATATAAGAATGATTGATTATAAATTTAATCATTTAGGTATTTATCTGAAAAATTTACTTTATTTTCTACTATTATTAAGTTTTATATTATCAAGTTTCTTTTATATGAAAAAGGGAATAGATACAAGTTAATCAGAAATTCAATTAACAATATAGTATGTTTAATTTAAATAAGATTTAGATTCTTTAATGATTTTAAGTTAATTATTAAAAACTAATTCAGTTTTATCTGAGAGAGTTAGAGAATTAGGTTTTTTAGACTAAAACCCTTAACTTTTAGATCCAAATAAATATTTTAATATTTTGGAATAAGAATTATTACAAAAATTTTATCAAAAGCAATAATTGGCTTAAAGTGTCAATTAAATAATTTATCAGGATATAGTTAATTCTAAAAAAATATCTTAAACTGATAAAGAAACATTATAAACTTTATACTAAGATGATTTATGCTCTGTAATTGCTGATTAACTTCCATTCTGTAATTTTGATAATAACTAATTTATAAATTTTCCAGATTATCCTATGCCAAGAAAAGAAGATAATAATAGAGAGATTTTTAGGGATGGAATCAATGGGATTTTTTAAAGGTAAAATTAATTTAATACATAGATTGACAGCCATTTTTAATTCTTATTACGAATTAGAATTGTAAGGCAAAAAAAATAAAAATGAAACTGAAACATACTATTTCTTAAAAACCCCTGAGTTTTAGCTCTATATTTTAGAGTACTTTTTTGATGTTAACAAGGCTGTTGTTAAATTTTTTTCAACAATTTTAGAATCCACAACTAAAATACTGTAAGCTGATTATGAAAATTCTTTATTTTTTTATTTGGCCTTTGGAATATCAGTTTTAATTGTATAAGGTACTTTACTAATATACAATTTATCATAATTATAAGAATTAGTATCAGCTTGTAAATTTGCGTTTATATTGATGCCAATTGAATGTTTAAATGAAACAAAATGTTTAGCTATAATCAAATAAATTGTAAAATAGTATGATCAAAGATGAGGTAAAAAATGTGATTTATAATATATTTATATATTAAGAATACTTTAAATTAATATATTTAATATTTTTATAAATTTTAATGCAAATAACTAATAAATAATGTAGAATATATATACATTACTTTAATAGTTAATATTCTTTTCCATATATTCTATAATCTTTACTTGAAGTAAAATAAAATAAAGATGACAACAAACAAAAATTATGATAATAAATAATCTTTTCCTCATATTTACGCATTTTATTAATTAAAATTATATTTAATAGATAAACTCATGTCTTACAGAATAAACATTTTTTTGTTTAGATTTTTTTATAACAATCTTATTCTCTTTCTTTTTTTGTATATACATACTTAAGTAAAAATAATTAATTCATCATATTTATAAGACTATGATTTAAGCACTATGATATAAATAAAACTCTAAGAGGTGAATGTAAAATTAATAAGAACGTTAATAGAATGGCAAATTTTGAATATTTCAGATTTGGAATTTAGATATAATAGATTAAATTTAAAGAGATATAATTCTTTCTAGAAGTTATTATTATGAAAATTAGAATAAAAAGTAAATTTAGATTAAATAAATAAAAAAAGGAATAAAAAGAGTGGTATAATTAAATGAGAAATTGAGTATTGAATAATAAATGAAGTTTATTTTAATAAATGATTTCATCCAGAAAATAGAGTAGCACTTCTTATTTTATTGCTAACTTTACAAACTGCTTCAAAATGAGTTTAGGTTTTTTTATGTTTAATATCTAAATCTGTAATATCATTTTCTTTTTTAACAACATTGCCTTCACTTAAAGTATCTTCATCGATTGCTTCCTGTTAAATTTCTAAAGTCTTTTAAGTTTCTGTGAATAATGTTGCTCCGATATTATTTTCATATTAATGAAGATGTTATGCAATTGGTCTTAAATCTTTTTTCTTTGATAAGAATTTAAGGAAAGGAATTAATCTTAAAAGACAATCATCATCTTCTGAATCAAGATAAGATGGTATAAGTAATCCATTTTCTTGGCATCTATCAAAGGCATTAGGATTATTCTAATATTGATGTTAAGTTTACATCTATAAAAATAACATCTTCCATAGGTCTATCTAGTAAAGATAAATCTTTAAAACAAACTCCATTAATAAATTGACAACTTCCTCTAGCATAATAATCTGAAATTAAGCTATCTTTGTCAATATAAGCCAAAACCTTTTCACAATAAACTTCGTAACCTGCAGTAAAGATTATCAATTCGTAATCTCTACTAGCTTCTAATAAGAATTAATTTAAATATGGTCGAGTTCTTAAATATATTTTATATTCTTATCCTTTGTGTATTACTTTTAGAAGGGCTTCATGCTAAAAATTATTATTTTCCTTAAACTCACAATGAACTAAAGTTTCATCTAAATCTAAAACAAGCACCTTTTTTTTTGAATGCATTTTAGGTGTTTATGCTGGAATGTAATTTTTAGAAAACTTGCCTTTAAAGTGCTCATAGCAATTTTTGAAAATAGCTATAATACTCATTTTATTATATAATTAAGTATTAAATAAAAAAAGTTTTATTATATGTTTCATTTAATTAGATATTAAATTACATAATCAAATATTAAAAAAATATGAAATACATAATCATTACTAAGCAAAGCATTTTTCTTATAATTTTTGAAAATATTCAGCTCTCTCTGCTGAATGAGATCTACTAACTCTATGACTTGTAATTTATTTTATAGTTTGGTTTTTCTTTCCTAAATCATTTTTATTTATTTTCTCTTTAATGAATTAATTATATTAAAGGATTATTTTATCATAGTTATAATTAGGAAAGTAAAGAGAGAAATTACACATTCTATCGAATTCAGTTTCTTCTGAGATATCGAAGATCTATCCTTTATCAATAATTTTGAAAGGATTTTCATCTTCTTCTTCTAAACTACTAGTTCTAAAGATTATATAATATATTACTAATTAGGTAAGATCTATAATTGATCTTCGCCTTCACGATTATGATTGTATACAAATTTGATTTCATCGGCTACAATTTTGGTTAATTACAAATTAGCTTTTGAGTTGTACTTAATTCTTTTATGTTATCTAATAAATTATTTATTAAATATTTTTAATTGTTATTCTTGGCTATATATATCTTCTTTAATTATTTCTAATCTTTTTTCTGAATTTATAGAGTAATGAAGTTTTGGGCATTCATAAGCAAAGTGAGATATACTTTCACAAGCAAAACAGCGTTATCCCAAAGGAGTGTAATCATTATTAATTTCAACAATCAATTTATTCATTAGATAAATTTAATTTTAATTGCTGTTAAGTTTTAATTTTTCAAAAAACTTCTTTTTGTTTAGAATTTAAACATATACAAAATTTAAAGTATATGCTGAAGCACTTCTAGGTTTATCTGTAAAAAATCCTAATTCACCAAAAGTAGATCCACCTTCAATTATTTTTAAACAAGTAATTGTCTTTTATATACAAATTAACACTTAACCTTGATTTAAAAAATATAAATTTCTGTCTTGTATATTATTACCATTTTCTTTTTCAATAGGATCTATTCCTTCTAAAAATATGCATTCTTCTGGTCCATATATTTACTCTTCCAAAAGATAAGGTAATTGGGACAATATTTCTTTCTCAAATTTACCAGAATTAAACAAAGCTGATTATTTAATTAGAGTTGTATTCACATTTTATAAAACTTCATCTTTTAAAGTTGATGATAAAACAGACAAAGCTTCTTTTTCATTCACCTATGAAGATTCAGTTTCATATTTATATTCTAAATATTTCCTTACTCTTGCTTATAAATCTTTAGGAATTTCATTAGATTTTAAAAATTAATTTGCCTATCCAAGTTTTAATCTTATAGTTTTTTCATTTGTATCTAATTTAACAAAGATACCTCCAATACTATTCATTATATAAGCAAAAACACAGCAAGCTAGCAACATGACTATAATACCAAACAATTTTTCAACAGATGTGACTGGGACAATATCACCATAACCAATTGTAGTCATAGTGGCAGTGGCCCAATATACTGATGCCACATATTTTATATACCATTATTATTCAATAAGTTCTGTAGCTTGTAACCAACTATAACCACTTGAACTATTTTCTTATTCGGCTATAAAATGCCAAATACATGCAAGCCAATGAGCCACAAAAAGCATTATGAAAGTCAATTTAAGTAATTAGTATATTGTTATTAGTGATCCACTTATATCTATATAATCTTCTAATTTTGTAAAAAGCTATTTCAGTTTTAAAACACGCAGAAGTCTTATTATTTTTATTAATCTAAAAAATTTTAAAATTCTTAGTAATTTCATTGTTTATACAATAGAATCCTTTTTTGCCTAACTTTATTATTAATTTAATTCATCTTCATCTACTTATGCAACACTTGAAGTTGCTGCCTCAACTATTAAATCAAAAGGAAATGTTGATACTTTAATTATATATATATTTAAATACCTACATCAATCCAAAACCACCATTTTATATAGTTAAAAAAAATCAATTTACGATCATAAACGTATTAGCCTTTATGTTAAAAGGCTGTATTGAAATTTATTAATATATCTAATGTAAATACTGCTAAACTAAAAAGATTAAAGTCTTATAAGAATTCTGATTCAATATTAAAAGAAATATCTACTGGCAATATTAAAATAGCAAAAAATATCACAAACATTGTGAAAAGATCCCAAATTAATCTTAATCTATCTTCTTGAGTTAATACTTTTATATAAGAACAACTTGGTTATTTTTCTTCTTATTCCTTTTTTTAAATCAAAGCACTCATTTTTCTAGATGGTTATACTCGTTTCTCTTTTTCTTTCAGTTTCGCAGTCTGAACAAATGATAAATCATTTATTATTTTTAATTGTCTATCATCAAAGAGTTAATTAATATCCTCAAATTACTCATCATTATCTATTTATTAGACAGTAAACAAATATTTTCTCTTAAGCAATGATTACTTATTATTCTCTGTTCTAATACTAAATATTCTTTCATCTCCAACATCGGAGTTTTCCATATTTTTACTTGTCCATCTAGGTGAACTAGAAAGCATTTTATAATTTATTAAATGATTAATATTAATTTATTAATAACTGTGTCATACTTAAAAAATTAACTTTTTTAGAATAATTTTAAATATCTTTCATTTAGTTATCATTTCTAATTATAATTATTTTAGAAGTATCCTAATTTATTTAAAAATTTAGAATTTTTAAATTATGAATAAAAAATAAATCATTTTTTCTATTCTTTTCGATTATAAAATTGATTTATATTAATATCATATTCTAACTAAAAAATATCAGTAACTTATGAGTAAATGATAAATAGTGATAATTTCATGATTATTATTGTATAAAAAATAACTTTTTATAGTAAATACTTATATTAATGTATTACAAATAGATAATATTATCACTAAAGTTAATATAATCATTCAATCACTTGGCTATTTTTATCTATTTAAATAGTTTTGACAGAATAAAAAAAATTTGTTTGGTCGTGATCGAAATAAATTGTGTTTTGTCGAAACAACTATTTTTTTGGATGGCGAAAGCGATGAATTTCTAATGATAAAATAAATTGTATTACTTTCTTCTATCCAAGTTTCCAATACTGCAATCTGTCTTTGATATACTAAATGCACTCACTTCAGTTTCAACTCGAAATTAATCTAATTTAGATTAAGTTTTTGAGTGTGACTTCATCAATTAATAAGAGATTATTTATTTTCTATCTACTTAAGAGGTATCTTTATCATTAAACATAGATCTTAAGATAATACTTTATTTTTATTATTTTTTTAATTTGTCTTCTTCATCATTAGNAGGCTGTATTGAAATTTATTAATATATCTAATGTAAATACTGCTAAACTAAAAAGATTAAAGTCTTATAAGAATTCTGATTCAATATTAAAAGAAATATCTACTGGCAATATTAAAATAGCAAAAAATATCACAAACATTGTGAAAAGATCCCAAATTAATCTTAATCTATCTTCTTGAGTTAATACTTTTATATAAGAACAACTTGGTTATTTTTCTTCTTATTCCTTTTTTTAAATCAAAGCACTCATTTTTCTAGATGGTTATACTCGTTTCTCTTTTTCTTTCAGTTTCGCAGTCTGAACAAATGATAAATCATTTATTATTTTTAATTGTCTATCATCAAAGAGTTAATTAATATCCTCAAATTACTCATCATTATCTATTTATTAGACAGTAAACAAATATTTTCTCTTAAGCAATGATTACTTATTATTCTCTGTTCTAATACTAAATATTCTTTCATCTCCAACATCGGAGTTTTCCATATTTTTACTTGTCCATCTAGGTGAACTAGAAAGCATTTTATAATTTATTAAATGATTAATATTAATTTATTAATAACTGTGTCATACTTAAAAAATTAACTTTTTTAGAATAATTTTAAATATCTTTCATTTAGTTATCATTTCTAATTATAATTATTTTAGAAGTATCCTAATTTATTTAAAAATTTAGAATTTTTAAATTATGAATAAAAAATAAATCATTTTTTCTATTCTTTTCGATTATAAAATTGATTTATATTAATATCATATTCTAACTAAAAAATATCAGTAACTTATGAGTAAATGATAAATAGTGATAATTTCATGATTATTATTGTATAAAAAATAACTTTTTATAGTAAATACTTATATTAATGTATTACAAATAGATAATATTATCACTAAAGTTAATATAATCATTCAATCACTTGGCTATTTTTATCTATTTAAATAGTTTTGACAGAATAAAAAAAATTTGTTTGGTCGTGATCGAAATAAATTGTGTTTTGTCGAAACAACTATTTTTTTGGATGGCGAAAGCGATGAATTTCTAATGATAAAATAAATTGTATTACTTTCTTCTATCCAAGTTTCCAATACTGCAATCTGTCTTTGATATACTAAATGCACTCACTTCAGTTTCAACTCGAAATTAATCTAATTTAGATTAAGTTTTTGAGTGTGACTTCATCAATTAATAAGAGATTATTTATTTTCTATCTACTTAAGAGGTATCTTTATCATTAAACATAGATCTTAAGATAATACTTTATTTTTATTATTTTTTTAATTTGTCTTCTTCATCATTAGGCATTAAATATGCTCTTTTATAAGTAATTTATTTCATTTATAAATGTGTATCTTGAACATTCATTAGACTTGATTATAATTATTATTATTATTTTATAAAACTATTTCTTGTTGGGATCATCCCTTTCTTTTTATAATCATCAATTTAAGATACAAGTTTTTTTAATAATCTATCTGATTGAAAATGTTTTTAATGTTTTTATTAAAGTAATGTCTTTTGATTATTGAAACCTTCAAACTATTCTGTTTTTAATTTAACACTCATTGTTCTCTTAATTTAATCCTTTAAAAGTTATGTTTTTTATAGAGTATGATTTTCAAATAATTCTTGCAAACTTTAAGTTTCTTCTAACATTTTTTAAAATTAATAGTATCTAAGCTAGAATAACGTTACTTTTTCTGAAACAACTATTACAGTGTATTCACGATTACCTTATGTTTTATATTCTATAGCACCAAAAATATTACCAACTCCCATTCTAGAAATTTTTACACTTTAATTTTCATTTACTTTATATGATTCAACTTCTCCTTTATATATTATATAAAAGCAATCAGAAATTTCATCTTATTTATAAATAATCCTTCCTTTTGTAAATTTCATTTTTTTAAAATCATAAGCATATTATGTAGCTATTTATTGTTTAGTATCAGATGGTAAAAAATGTTCATATAAAAATTGAAGTCTTTTATTAATTGAATTAACTTAAGCTGATTATAATATTATTTTATAAGAAGAAGCATCTACTTAGGCTAATTCCACAAAATCAGCTGCTAAAACTGTAGCTGATCTTGGCTATTCTAAAATCAATCCAAGTTCACCAAATGCTTCTCCTTATGTTTATTTAGTAATTAAATTTTATGTAAATACACCCTATTCAAAAAAGTAATTTATATCATTAAATTAATCAGGATACATATCACCCGTCTCTTTAAGATAATCTTTGTATTGCTTTATTTATTTTAATTTTGAAATATGTGAATTAATTTGATTTACAGACTTAAATGTCAATATTTTATTTAATCTTTCCATAATCTCTATTTAATGATTTCTCTTTTATTATTCATCCAACATATAGTATTGAGTCATTGTTTATTCTACTTCAATTTCCAAAAACTTCTTCTTTTAGTATATATGAACTGTTCCATTCAAAATTATATAAAAATCATTTGCAGGTTAACCTGAATTGAATGAGTATATGAATACCCTCCTTAAAAATGATTTCTCCAGGCTAAAACGACATATATTTCATAACTCGACAGGTTTAATAATGTAGTTATTAAATTTGATTTTTTCGATATAAATTGATCTCTTTAAAATATTTCAATGGTTTTGTTACTCTAACTAGATACCATATTTCCTCCTCAGTTCTTTAATCTTATCTTAAGATGCTTTTGGCTTCCAAACATAAAAATAAATTATTACTTCTAAAAATGAATATTATTTCATTAAATTAATATATGTAATAAATATCAATCTAGCATATAGATGAAGAAAAAGACTTATTGTTTAACGCAAGTATGGATGACTTTGCAAAATCAGAAGAAACAATATAAAATGAAAATTGTTGTTTAATATTTATTTTTGCAAGCGTAAGTGCCATTAATATGATTCTAATAATTTATTTATTTTATGTTTCAATATAACCATGAAATTTAATTATTTTAAATATCATTTATAAATTTTAATCATTCTTTTAAACACATATTTTCCCTCTTTTACATCTTATTTTTATATATTTATTAATTATAATCTCTATTTCAGAATTACAAAATAAAATTCTTTTAAAATTAATTAAAATTTGAATACTAAATAGTTATAGATATCATTCATGATTAATAGCTTCATATAATATGATTTAGTTATTATTTTTAAAAAACGAATGATTACCTAATTTTTTCTTTAATATTATTTTTGGATTTGAGTATCTCATTCTTGGATAGTAATGACAGTAATGTTATTTGAAATACAATTTGTTATATATTTAACTAATTTATTCAGAGCAATATGTATTGAAGTCATTGGTTTATAAAATTAATAAAAATAAGTTAATAAACAAATATTCTATTGCTTTTTTATTTAAGGTTTTTGGTCTTTAAATATGAAAATCTTTTTAGATAAATAATTATTTGTAATATAAACTAAATATGCAATTATCATTTTGTAACTGATATAGAGTTTATATTGACTTAATTTGACATTCTTAGATTATTCATTAATTCTAGTAAATTCAATTTTAATGGTGTTTCAAGACATTCCATTTCTGCTTTAGCATGTAATCTCTCATCATCAAAATTAGGTTTGTTAAAGAATGTCACTTAAACACCCTCAGGCACTTTGATTGATTTCACTTTAAAATTTTTCATATCGTTTGGAATCATAGGATGAGTTCCACATAATTTCAATTCATCTGCAGTGTAATGACACTCTGAATATAAAATTACACAAGGTTCCTTTTTAATGATATAAATTTTTTACTTCCTATTCCCCACTAACACCTTGATTTAATGACTATTTTATTGATTAAACATCATTTTTTTAATCTGCACCATTTTCTACTCCTTCATTTTCATCTGTTCCATCAGTCTTACCATCAGTTTAACCATTATTTTAACTATCTGTTTATACATCAGTTTAACTATCTGTTTATACATTAGTTTATCCATCATCTGTTTATACATTAGTTTATCCATCATCTGTTTATACATTAGTTTATCCATCATCAGTTTACCCATTATTCTAACTATCAGTCTATCCATCAGTTTCATCAGATTTTTCTTCACCTCCAGTTTATCCATCTCCTTCTTCTCCAGTTTATCCATCTCCTTCCCCTCTAGTTTATCCATCTCCTTCACCTTCTTCTTCATGAATTGTATCTTTAATATTCATTTACTTAGCCTAAAATACTCTATTTTCTTTAGATTCTAAACTTTCATCTAAATCTCTTTTATTTTTTACTGTATCTAACTCTTCTCCAGCACAATTCTAATATTCTTCAGAAGGTGGTTCTGGTTCACTTTTTTCATCATTTTATTCATCTTCTTTTGGTGGTAAACTTGATTTTCCTCCTACTTTACTAGCTTTTTATGGTACAATTATTTCTTCTTCAACTGTTTCTTCAGTTGTTTCTTCAGGTTTAGCTTCTTCTTCTGGTTTAGCTTCCTCTTCAGCTTTTGCATCTTCTTCAGCTTTTGGATCTTCCTCATCTTTAACACCTTCATCTGAAGTTTAGATTTTGACATTCTTAGAATCTTATTGGGATTTTAATTAAGTTGTTCCATCCACATCAACTTTATTTTTAACAGTATCATTTTCTTCACCTCCTGGACAATCTTCCTCAGGTATTACTTCATGATTTTCTACTTCTACTTCTTCATCTTTCTATTCTTCTTATTTTTCTTATTCTTCACCAACTTCCTCATTTTCTTCACCCTCTCCTTCTTTTTTCAAACTTTCAGGATCATTTGCATCTAATTCTTCTTCTCCATCATCATCATCTTATTGAACTGCTTTTTCATCTGCTTCTCCTTTTATATCTGTTTCTTTATCAAGATCAATCACGTTTTTTACTATGTAATTAAATAACTTTTCAATATCACCAACTTCTGAATTTTAACTATAAAGAACATAAAATAAGTATTATCCTTCAGATAAATTTGAAATTTATATTATAGACTTTCCATTCTCTTCATAAAATGATACAATCTCATTCTTTTCTTCTAGAATTAATAATCTATTCATAGTTCCTTCATTATTAGAATTTGTTAAACTGAAACCTTAATAGTTTTCTTATGTAAACATATCAATTCTTTCAAAATCTTCATTATTTTTTTTCATTTATATTTTAATCCATTCTTTATCCTTTACTTAAGTTCCTAANGTTTACCCATTATTCTAACTATCAGTCTATCCATCAGTTTCATCAGATTTTTCTTCACCTCCAGTTTATCCATCTCCTTCTTCTCCAGTTTATCCATCTCCTTCCCCTCTAGTTTATCCATCTCCTTCACCTTCTTCTTCATGAATTGTATCTTTAATATTCATTTACTTAGCCTAAAATACTCTATTTTCTTTAGATTCTAAACTTTCATCTAAATCTCTTTTATTTTTTACTGTATCTAACTCTTCTCCAGCACAATTCTAATATTCTTCAGAAGGTGGTTCTGGTTCACTTTTTTCATCATTTTATTCATCTTCTTTTGGTGGTAAACTTGATTTTCCTCCTACTTTACTAGCTTTTTATGGTACAATTATTTCTTCTTCAACTGTTTCTTCAGTTGTTTCTTCAGGTTTAGCTTCTTCTTCTGGTTTAGCTTCCTCTTCAGCTTTTGCATCTTCTTCAGCTTTTGGATCTTCCTCATCTTTAACACCTTCATCTGAAGTTTAGATTTTGACATTCTTAGAATCTTATTGGGATTTTAATTAAGTTGTTCCATCCACATCAACTTTATTTTTAACAGTATCATTTTCTTCACCTCCTGGACAATCTTCCTCAGGTATTACTTCATGATTTTCTACTTCTACTTCTTCATCTTTCTATTCTTCTTATTTTTCTTATTCTTCACCAACTTCCTCATTTTCTTCACCCTCTCCTTCTTTTTTCAAACTTTCAGGATCATTTGCATCTAATTCTTCTTCTCCATCATCATCATCTTATTGAACTGCTTTTTCATCTGCTTCTCCTTTTATATCTGTTTCTTTATCAAGATCAATCACGTTTTTTACTATGTAATTAAATAACTTTTCAATATCACCAACTTCTGAATTTTAACTATAAAGAACATAAAATAAGTATTATCCTTCAGATAAATTTGAAATTTATATTATAGACTTTCCATTCTCTTCATAAAATGATACAATCTCATTCTTTTCTTCTAGAATTAATAATCTATTCATAGTTCCTTCATTATTAGAATTTGTTAAACTGAAACCTTAATAGTTTTCTTATGTAAACATATCAATTCTTTCAAAATCTTCATTATTTTTTTTCATTTATATTTTAATCCATTCTTTATCCTTTACTTAAGTTCCTAAAAAGACTAAATTTTGTGTTGTTTCTGTGAAATATTAAGATTCAGGACCAAAGGCATTAGTCTTCTTAACTTCCCCACCTGTTAATTCTATATTCTATTTATGGTTTGTAGAAAAAATCCAATTTTAATAGCTACTTTTATATTTAGACTTACTTTTTGCCTTAATCATTCTTTTATACTCCTAATAAAACATCACTTGAAATTTCAGTCTCTTAAATAAACTTCTCCAAAGATTAAATATTCTTTTAAACCCAATCATGAATATTAGTGACATCTTTAGCAAAGATGCCTAGTGTTGACAAAATGAACAACAAAACTCTGAACTTCATCATATATTTAGATAAAATATTAAAAACGAATTTTAAGATAAAATCATTTCGAAGAGTAATTCGAATTAATTACAGAATTAAATATAATAATTATTATTATAGCTTTTACAAAGATAATAACATCATATATAATAAATACATGATGATAATATGCTAATGATTATTAGTTTGTTTTTTTATATAATGTACTATTAATATTTTATGATCATCATTTTCCAACAAAACCTTTAAGATAAGTTTCCTTTTAAGCTCTTATGACTTCTCTCTTGTCTGTTTTTCTTGACATATAAATCTTTGTTTTTTCTGATCCTCTGGTCTTCTTTAATTTTGATTTGACTTCTTTCCAACCTTTTCTGCTTCCATCTCTTTTAGGAATTATTCCTCTTCTTCTCAATCTGAATTTTGGTTCAAATTTAAGCAAATACCTAAAATATTAAATTATTGCTTATACTATTAAGTGTCATAAATTAGAGCAAAACCTGTTGTTCTGTTACCTCCAAATTATGTTCTGAGACCATAAACAACAACATTTCTTTCATCAGCTTTATATTTGCTAGCCAATTCTTTGACAACTGATTCTTATGATGGAGTTGCCTTATTTGGATGGAGTAATTCAACACTCTTTTATTTATTATATTAACTTACTAATTATCTTCTATTCAAGAGTTTATTTAATAGAACTTTTCTTGTTTTCACGATGAATGTCATATGAACTTTATTTTAATTCAAAATAAATTAAATCTTTTTCTTTATTTTATGAAATGAAAAAGTTTATAATATATTCTTCAAACAGATCACAAAATTTATTTTCTAATCAAAAAGTGAATAAAAATTATTAGCAATTTTTTTAAAGAATAGGAAAAAGATTGAATAAGAATTGTTTTCAATTCTAATAGTCATTTAAAAAATTAACAAACTGTAGAGTTGAAATTTTTCACATAAATTTTTGATTCATTCAAATTTAATGAGAATCAAAAAAAATAATACAGATATAAAATAGAATGATGTTTATAAATCATATATACTTCGATAAAATTAATAAACCTATTTATTTCACTTTAATTCATAAAACGCTTTCAAAAAATGAATAATATTAATAACAATATGGGAAGCAAACCAAATAAAAACACGAATTATTAAAATGACAAAGGTCATCTTCATCCAATTAATAATCAAACAAGACCAAGATCAACTCCTATCTGTCCATATAATCCATATTGTATTTATAATAAATAATTTAAAGCTTCTCAAACTTAATTTAATGTGACAATAAATAATGTTTTATTCTTAGTGGTTAACCCTCCAGAAGATAACGACACTATTACCATGGCTGAAAATTTTGATGAACTTTGAAAAAATTGAAATATATTATATTTTATTTTTGACAAGAATTATTGTTCATTTTTATTTCTAATTAGTTAAAAAATTTTAATTGTTTGCAAATTAAACTAGATAATATATTTGAAAGAAAAATTATACATATACAAAATAATTAATACTATTAGTATAAGAAGTAAACAAAATAATACATGAATCAATTAAATAACTTTATTAAAACTTGCTTTAACTAATTTATATTTAAAGGTTTTGTCAACACATCTCTCATTCCAACTTCTAAACATTTGTTAATATCTTATGTAGAATTAAATGCAGTTAATCCTATAATTGGAATATCTGGCACAATTTTGTCTCTTATAAGATCCATTAAAACTTTTGTAGTTGTCCATCCATCCATTATCGGCATTTAACAATCCATTAAAATAAAATAAAACAATTTACACGATTCAGAACACTTTTCAGTATTTTAAATTAATTCAACAGCTTAAAATCCATTATATGCCTAAAAATTAAAAAAAAATTACTATTAATAATCTAAAACCCATTTATCTTATGATGACTTATAAGGCTTTCTAATTAAAAAGATCATCATCTACAGATAATATTCTTGAGCATTAACAAGGAAACTATAAATTCTCGAACTTCTCTTCCATTTCTATTTCCTATTCTTCTCTTTAAATTAATCTTGAAATTAATGTATTTGGTCTATTGTTTTATGCTATATCTAATTCTGAAATACTAAAGGAAGATTTTTTTCTTCTCTTAATTTATTTTTCTTTTGAATCTTTATTATTTATAAAAATAGAAAATGGTTTGTTAGTTACATTTAATTTAAGTAAATTATCTTAAAGGTGACCTCTTAAAGTGATTTCATCTTAGAGAAGATCGGTTTCTTATTATACATACTAGTTTAACAGTCCTGTAGATTATTAAGGTCTAAAATAATTAGCTATTGATGAATGATGTCTAATTGGAATTTATTATATTTATTTATCAACTATGATATTATCGCATTTTGGATTATTAATAATTAATAGACCTTAAATCCCCATACATAGATCTGGTACTGTGTATGCAGTTCTTAAACTTTATCTTTTAATAGTACCTCCTAATATTTATGTATTAGAAGATTGAGTTGTTCTGATTTTAAAAGAAATTTAAGTTCCTTCTCCTTTACCATTAGAGTGTATTCTTAATTAAGTTTTATTTAAAGGGGCTAATTTAAATAAATTCATTTGACTTACAAGTAATCCTAAACCTTACCATTCATCATGACATGAAAAATCTCTATTTAAATTAAAAGATTTTAAGAATTCTTAAATTTTCTCCAATTAATCATTTTCTATACCAGCACCTTAATCTTTTACACAAAATGTTAAAGTGTTTTCATAACATGATATTTCTAAGGTAATCAATCCTCTTTCAGAAAATTTAATAGAATTAGAGAGGATATTTACTAAGATCTACATAATTCTATCAAAATCTGAATATATCAATGGAGGGACTGAATTTTTAACATTTATATGTAATCCAAGATTTTTCATTTATAGAATTGGTCTAAATATACAATTTACTTCTTCAACAATATCTTCAAAATTAAACTCTTCAAATTTATATCTGATTACCTGAGAATGAAATTATGTAAAATCTATTATATCTCTTATTAAATATGCTTATAATTTTAATGCATTTATAGCAGGATAAATAAAATTATATTTATGATTTTCATCTATGCTAGGATCATTAATTAATCCATCAAGAAATAATTTGGCACTATTAAGAGGAGTTCTTAATTCATGAGAAAAAGAATCAATAATTCTAACTTAAAATTTTTCTCTTGTTTCTAATTTTTATAAATAACTTTAAAGTGAAATATCATCCATTATAATTAAATATTCATGATCATTTTAACCACAAAAAATCTTACATTAAATATTTCTTGTATATTCCTCCTCATGAAATGACACTTATTTAGTTTTTGATAATTAAGCTAACAGTTCTAAATTATTCTCTTTTGAATAAAATTAATCAAGATTTCCATTTTAAAGTTCTAATAATATTTCATTTAATGTATTTGGTAGTTTTTAATTACTTAACATTTTGTTACAACTAAAAAATTACGGAGCATTACTCTATTATTTTGGAGATTGTTAAGGTAATTTTATACTTGTCTCTTTAACCTATTTCCTTTTTCTTTTTATTTATAGTTTAAATTATAATTCATTCATTAAAAATTTAGGAATATCTCTTATACCATTAAACATTTACAGTAGAGATTGATTTTAAAACATAATTTAAAGATTATCTTTTTTTACAATCATAATCCCTACTGGAATGTTTTATAATCTTATTAACCATGAATTACTAATTGAATCTTATATTAAATTGATAATCTCTGAATTTCTCTATGTAGGTTTTGTTATTTATTAAGGCAATTCTAATTCTTGATTTTGTTCCATAAAGACACAACTTTTTAATTTTAACATCTATATCGTACTATAAAGAGTGATTATATATAAAATTAAATTTTCTTTATGAATTATGAATAAAACAATAAATAAAATGTTATAAAGAAGATGAAATATTAAGGTTTTTGTTTTTGTTTATTTTTTAACCATTGTCATTTCTTGTGTTTTCAATAATATATAAGCAATTCGAGATAAATCTCTATCTAAAAAACAGCAATACGATATATGAACACTTAATGTAACACTCATAAACCATCTAATATATTTCTTTGGAATCAATTTTCTTTTTTGAATGATCAGCAAACTAATAAGTAATATTATTCCATTCATAATCAATAGTACAAGTGATAATATTAAACTAACATCATATAAATATAAAAGCAGTCCAATCGTAACATTCATAGAGCTTGTTGAATAGAACTAAATTAATTTCCAATTTAATTGCATTATATTTATAATAGTTTTAATGCATTATATTTATAATAATAATTAAATTGCTAATCTAAATTCTATAGTAGAGAGATGATAAAAACATATTAATCCACTATAATTACATTTAAAAAATATTAAATTTTTGTAATTAAGAAGAAAATGGAAATCATACTAAGTAAATTGAGTTTTAAATATTTCATTTAATAGAGAAATAATGAATTTAATATAATATTTAAATACCTAATATACGATAATTTGAAACAGAATAATGTAGATAGCCATATGTAGAATGGCTAAACTTTCAGGTAATGATAAAAAAAGCCTAAAAGATAAACTAAATTTTCAAAAAAAATGTTCACTTAATATTTATATAATATATTTTGCTCATAAGAGCTATATTATCTGGTTTTTTTCTTCAAAGTCGTCATCAACAACAACTCTTATTTAAATGATTCGTTATCTTTTCAGCTGCTTTAGCAGCAAATGGATGATCATTATTTCGCAGATTAAGACGTTGCAAAGCTAGATTTAAATGTTATTAACGTTCTTCTTAACTTAAAACCTAAGCAAGTTACTATAAGATTTAATCTGGAAGAAGCATAATTTTATAGGTTTCCTAAATATTAGATAAAAGTTGTTTATTGTTAATATTTGTAGCAAATTTTTGGATAAAATTTAATGCCCTTTGTTTGGCTTATTTTTCAACATCATATTCTACCATTAGATATGCTAATATAAATTTTTAACTTTAGCAAATTGATTTATTCTATTAGGAAGTAACTTATGAGTGAGAATTGGAATTTGAGGATAGCTACTATTATGATTGTTAATTTGAAGAATTATTAATATTATTTTAATTTTTTAATTGATTATTAAGATTCTAAATTTGTTTTTTATTACTTTTTTCTAATTTTTTTTCTTTTTTGTTTGATTTACCTATGGATCCTTGTCCAAGCACCTGAATGGCAATGCCCTTGCCATTTTAAAATTTTGTATTATGAATTTTAGAATATACCAAATCATCATCGACTCTTTCATTGACAATATTGTCTATATTCAAAATAGGTTATTTTATATCAGGTTAAGGTTTAAAACTTGTAATTTTTTCTAATGTTTAAATTGGAATAATGGACTATTTTTTTAAATGCATAAACATACATTGTTCGAAGAAATGGAGGACATCTCCCATTCATCTGGGAGTTCTTCTTAATAAGATAAATCACTTTCTTAAAAATCTTAACTTCTTTCTTCATCAAAGAATGATTCATTTGAATCTAATTGTGTTTAATTGTGTATGAAATCATATTCATGACTTAATTTTCTTAATTTTTATATAGGTTTCTCAATAGTTGACATATTAGTTTTGTTGATTATATTAATTATTTATTGATTAATAAAGACCTCTGTGTTATAATGTTAATGAAAGAATTAATATAAAGAAATTAAATAAAATGGATTAAAATAACCTGCATACATTGTTTTTTATTGATCATATTCTTAAAAATGAGTAAGCATAAAAGATATAGTAACTTGCTAAAGAATAAAGTGCATAAAATGCTCATATAAGAGAGGTAGCTAAAGAACAGGCTGATATATTTTTATCGTAACTTCCATCTTCAAATTACGGTGAAGAGAAAGTCAAAAGATTATATTTTGATGGTTGTTTTGATTTAATGCATTCTGGTCATTTTAATGCACTTCGTTAAGCTAAAGAGTTATGTGAAACTTTAGTAGTAGGAGTAATTAAATCAGATGCAATAGCTAAAGCAAAAGGACCTCCAATAATGACTGATGATGAAAGATTATCATTAGCTAAGGCATGCAAATGGGTTGATGAAGTAGTTGTTTAAGAAACATATGATCCAACTATAGAATAGATAGATAGACATTAATGTTCACATGTTGCTCATGGAGATGATTTAGTATAGACTGCTGATGGCAAAGATGCTTATTAACCATTTAAAGATGCTAAGAGAATGAAGTAATTTTAACATTCCATATTATCTTAGAATCTTTAAAAGAACTGAAGGAATCAGTACTACTGATATTGTTGGAAGAATGTTATTAATGACTAAAGAAGTTATGTGGGAAGAAAAAGTAATTATTCATCTCAATATTTTAGAAAGTCTTTTAAAAGTAAACCATTGTTGAAGCATCTAATATTAATTCTTTAGAAATTGATCAAGCTTCTATTGAATAAACTTTAAATAATAAAATACTTAATACAACTAGAAGAATTATGCAATTTAGTAATAATATAAAACCTAAATCTGGTGATAAAATTGTATACATCGATGGATCATTTGATATTCTACATTAAGGTCATGTTGATGTCTTAAGAAAAGCAAAAGAAATGGGTGATTTTTTATATGTTGGAGTTTATGATAATGAAGTATATATAAATTCCTATATTTCTAGACTATTAATTAAATTAAAGGAAAGAATTATCCTATTTTAAATTTGTAAGAACGAGTCTTAAATTTACTTGCTATTAAATATGTTGATGAAGTTATCATGGGTGTACCTTATAAAGTAAATGAACAATTAATCAAAAATTTTAAAATTGATTTAGTCGTTGAAGGAAGTTGTTCATAAAAAACATCTGAAGATCCTTATGAATTACCAATCAAATTAGGAATCTATAAATAAATCAAGGCTATCAATTAATAGACTACTGATGAGCTAATTGAAAGAATAGTTAGCAATAGATTAAGATTTTTGGAAAAGTATAATTCGAGGAAAAAAAAAGAAATCAATTTCTTTGAAAATCATGATTACAAGGTAGAAGAAATATGATGTATATATATTCGTCTATCCACAACAAAAATAGAAATATATGTCATAATGTACTTTATAATACTCACTATCAAACTTCTAAACGCTTTTCTGAAACATAAATTCCATCCAAGAATTATCTGATATCTTTATTTTTAACAGCACAAGCTTAATGAATTAGAGCACAAGTTAATGATACATTGTTAAGGTCATTACCAGTAAGAGTTAAAACATCTATTATTTTTAATAATTTATTCTACTCTTTTCTTCTGCTTCATTTCTTGTGATCACAACTCCTGGTAAACATTTAATTGTTCTAATAATTTTTTCTCCCAAAAAATTCTTTATTTCTATACCTGCTCCCTTTTCTAATAAATTAATAATAATTGGAAAGTGAGCATATGCTAAAACCATTTTGAATTTATATCCCGAAGTTACACCTCTAATCATATTCTTTATTTAAGAAGCAACTGAGTTCACTTAACATTTTTGTTTTCTGTATGATTACCACATTCTTATGCTAACTCTAGATTTCTCCTTCTTTGTTTATTTGTTCTATTTCTTTTAAACTTTGATATCCAATGATGCATGTTTGAAATTTCTGTTTAATATTCCTCTTGGTCCTGAAATGATTAATCAACATCAGTACCTTTAACTTCGACTTTCTTTGAATTAACCTTAATCTCTATCTTTTCAGGAATATCTACATGCTCTTCTGTCAGAATATATTTCATATCTTTTAATTAAAAAAAATTTAATAAATATATATATTCATTATTAAAGTGATATACCATACTCACTTGATTCTCCACATTATTTTGATTTGAATTACACAACTACCCATCTATCCTTTTAATCTATCTATTACAGTAAGTATTATTCATAGAGTTCCACATATTCTTTATTAAATATTTACTTAATCATTTAAACTGAATACTAATAATCATGAGGAAAGTGTAAATAAATTCTAAGATTCTCATTTGTGCAATCCTCACTAATTATTTATCTATAATCAAATTTTCTCTAAACTTTATAAAAGTTTATTGTGCCTTGATATCCTAATTATACTTAAGTTGTCTGCCAAATGATATTTATTTTTGAAACTCTGATTCCAGCTTTATCAATTTGAATACTGTTGTCATCAATTTCTAATTCAAAATCAGAAAACTCTTGATTGCTGTATGACAATTAGAAATATGACATTTGTAGCTATTCAGGTAATTTAATTAAAGTATTTGTAACTTTTTGTCCTTTAAATAAAGTAATTATTTTATCTAAATTAATTAATTACTTTTCTTAGCTGCTAAAACAAATTTTACTATTTGTTCCAAAACTAGTATATAGTTTTTAAGGATTAATTAATTCTTTGATTAGTTTAAAAACTGTATGAAATTCTTTTTTATATCCTTAGGCTAAACCAATTAAATACCAGGTATCATCATTTAAATGATAAGATTTTTGAGTCTAAAATATACTTAATAATTACGTTACATTAAATACAGGTATAAGTCTTAGATCTACTATCTAAATGAGAGCAATCTTCATCTGATATTTGCAATAAAGTTTTTGCTTTTTTATTTTTATTTAATAATGGTTCTTCATTTTTACCAAGTGCCTTATTCTCATCACTTTTTTCTGCATTGTTTCTTGCTTAATGTTTAAGATTAGGTTCATCTATTTCATTAGCTTTAGACATATCTCTTTTAGTGGTATCTTTATTTTATGGTTTAATAAGTGAATCACTATTATTAACATTATTTTATTTATTAGCAGCTAATGCTTATACTTTATATTAAGATTATTTATTTTAATTTTATTATGGTACTTCTTATTCTTATTCTTTTTATTATTATTATTATTATTATTATTATTATTATTATTAATCATTTTCTTTTTTATTTTATTATTTTATCTCCTCATTATTTTTATCTTTATTTTATTTTTTTTTATTTTTATTCTTATTCTTATTTTTATTTTTCTTCAAACCCATTTATTTTAATTTTTCATCTTATATTTTTTTATTTCTTTTTTGTCTTCCTTATTCTCTTAAAGACTTAGCAAATGCAATTCCAGAAGAATCCATTTAATCCTTGTCTTCAGGTGTACTTCTTCTTGGATAATCATCAACATCTCTAGTAGTATCTCTAATTTATGGAGATCCATTAATATTTCCTGGTCGATATTTAGGATCCTACATAGCTCTTTCTTCTCTATTTCTTTTATCATTAATTCCTCTATTTTAAGAATATTAATCAAGATCATGATAGATATGAAATTCTTCAATTCTTGGTTATTAATCATCAGATTCTTTTGATGAATATCTTCTTCTTCTATTAATATCTCTTTTTGATTTATTCAATTCTCTAGCAATTTTGTCTTCTTCTAAATCTTCATCATCTCCCCATTCCTTTCTTCTACGATATGGTTTTCTAGAAGATCTTGGATCATAATCATAATTATAATCATCATCATCATTATATCTTCTTCTTCCTTCCGAATTTCTATTTTCTCTATTATATCTATTTGAATATCTATAATCTTCCTATCTATTATCATCATAATCATCATATCTTCTTCTTCCATAATGATCTTATCTTCTTCGATCATATTCATCTGCATATGGTTATCTTCTTTAATAATAAGGAGGATAATCATTTCTTCTTTGATACCTATCTGGAATTCCATCACCATCTCTATCTTCATAATAATCCTCATCATATCCATATTCATCATATTCATCATAATAATAATCTTCATCATGCCAATCTTCTCTATGTTTATGTCCATATGGTTTACCATCTCTACCAGTTTTATAAGGCCTATCATCATCAAAATCAGGAGGACGATGAAATTCATCAGGATTCATCTATTAATAATCTCCTCTTTCCTCTTATTACATTTTATTACCCTATATTACTTTAAGAATTGGATTTTAATCATCTACATATTCATTATTACCAAAATAATTAGATTTATCTGGATTAAAATTAGGTAAAGATCTTGGATCATTGTGATCTAATCCTTACATTTATTATGCTTTTTTTCTACCAAATTTACCAATATCTCTTGGAGTAATAAATTCTTCATCTGCAAATTCAAAAGGTTGACTATCTGAACTTTTTCTTTATTAAGGTACTTCCCCTGGTATAAATTCCTCTTAATCTAAAGTTGACGATTCTTAAAAAGGACGATAAATAGATGATTATTATTATTATTATTATTATTATTATTATCCATGACCAGAAACTTATTAATTATGATGTTGTGTTCTTTTTTTCCATTCACTAACCAATGAATGTATATCATCTGGTGTTATTTAATCTAGTAGATCTTCTGGAGTGTTACATTATTTTAATTTAGAATATGGACCTTATCCAGGTAAATAAAATAAAGGGTTTTTCATTTATAAATATATCTATGATCTCTCAAAATGAGTAGTTGTAAAAATGATATTTCTTGGATCATAAGGATCATAATCTGGGTGATGAGGATCATAAAATCTTGGATCAATTAATCTACTTATCAAATATTCTATCTCTTCATCAGGTACTTCTTCCCAATTAATCCAAGGCTGTTATAATTATTCATCTTAAATTACTTAATCAGTTTATTCTGTATTATCAATTTGATTTTCATCACCAACTTATTCTTACTCCTATTATTAATCTTCTACAGGTTCAACTTCATTGGTTTCATTCTCTGTAATTTTTGTTTCTTCTCCATTTACTCCTTCTTGTTAATCTTCTTATTAAATACTTTCATCTGATTAAACATCTTTATCTTCAATATTACTTTCTTCTGTATTAATAGTTGCATTTTCATCAGCATTAGCTTCTACATTTTCTTCCCCTTTTGTTTCTCCACTAGGATTATCTTCAGGTAATGCTTCACCTATTGTTTCACCTATTGCTTCACCTATTGCTTCTTCTGGAATAGCTTCTCCTCCTTCTTCAGGTTGTACATTTCCTGATCCTTCTTCTGGTGCAATTTCTATTACACCTTCTTCAGGGATGACATCTTAATTTTAATTTCCCTCTTCTGGAGGAACTAGTTCTTCATTTGGAATCTCTTAAGCATACTCTTCATTCACAATCTCTTGTATTGGATCTTCTAGAGGAGGCTCATATAATTGATATTGATGTTGAGGTACTTCTCCTGTGTAATATCCTTAATAATAATATGGACTCCTTGTGTGATCTTACACTGTATGTATATTAGGATAAAGAGGATCATTTGGATAATGGAAACTATCTCTATTTATAAAATGCTTTTCATTTCTATATTTATGATATAATTATTGCTATTTATATTATTCTGCTTAAGTTTCATCAAATTAAATATTTATTGATTACATTTATACTGGATCAAGCACTATGTTTATTGATTACATCTCTGCATCTCCTTAAACTATATTTATTGATTAAGCTACATCAGATTTTAATTCTGTTTATTATTAAGGATTTCCTTATTTATAATGAAAATACGGATCTTTGTTTACCTTTTTTTCTCCATAAATATTATATTTGTCATCTTCATTAATTGGATTAAACATCTCATGAGGAATTATAGGTCTATTCTAGTAAACCATTTCTTCTGGACGGAGAGGAATAAATTATTATCCATCATTTACATAAATATCATCTCTATGTTAAGGATTAAATAAATCATGAGGAATATATCCACCATTTTAAATAATCTCTTCTATTGGATCAAAAGGTATTTAAGGATTTCTAAATAATTCTCTTGGACCTGGTTCAAAATCTTATTATTATAAACTATCTTCCATTATTTACTCTTAAGTATCTTCTAATTATTCTTAATCTTAAGTATCTTCTAATTATTCTTAATCTTAAGTATCCTCTAATTATTCCTATTCTTAATTATCTTCTAATTATTCCTATTCTTAATTATCCTCTAATTATTCCTAATTATCCTCTTATTATTCCTAATTATCCTCTAATTATTCCTAATTATCTTCTAATTATTCCTAATTATCTTCTAATTATTCTTAATTTTCCTCACCTTATTGAGAAATAAAAAAATCATCTAATCTCATGGTATATTACTTGATTTTTTATTTATTATGGTTTTGTATTTCTTAATCGTTAAGAATATGCACTTAATTAACTGGTATAATATCAATAGGATTTAATTAATTGTTATTCTTAAATTTGGGTTCTTTTCTTAATATAATTTAATATTCAATAGGTACAGATATTTATTCTTAATGTGGAATAGTTTCTTCATTTAATTATTCTAGATCTTATAATTCTTCAACTAATTGTTCAGCTTCTCCAATATCTCCATTTCTGATTGGATCAAGTGAGATATTAAGTTCTTCTAAAAAGACTTATTCAATTTCCATTTCCATATTAGCTCTAATAGAAAGTTCATATAATTTTTCAAGTGGAATTTAAATAGTTTCATCAATGATCATAGCTAATATATCTTTTAATCTTGATATAACTCTAGTTCTGTTTGAACGCATTTCGTTTTTTAAGATTTGGAGTAGAAGATCAGGTTATTCTTCAGGATCTAATTAAATAAGATGATCAATAATTTAATTGTATAAACGATCATCATCCTACCATCCAACTTTAAATACTGATTCTTCAGCTACTATTTATTTCATTTATTATATTTTTTCATCTAATTTAGATGCAGCATTAGAAGATGGTGGATCTCTACTAGGATCCATCTTTAATTTAGTTGGATACTCTCCTAAATGTGGAATAGGTTCTAAATCAGCAGCTACTCTAACTTCATGTTCTAATTTATCATTAAAAGAGCTTGCCGTTTTAGCTGCTGCCAAAAGATCATTATCTGCAATTTATGAATCCATAAACCTTTACATCCAAGGAGGATTATATGTAGATATTCTATCTGTTTGTATAAGTGATTAGATAACAAACTAAGCATGTGTACAATACAACAGTGTTATAATTAAATACATTTAATATGAAATACCTAATTGTGTTAGTTCTGTTATTCAATTTGAATCAATGTATTAGCTTCTATGCCAAAGAAGGAGTTGAAAAGTGCTTCTCAGATGAAGTACCAAGTCAAACTGTATATACTTCTATATTCAATTTAGATTGTTGTAATCTATCACGAATTGATGTCTGAAGGTGTGGCCAAAAATGAAAAAAGAGGTATTAATTCAATTATCTTTAGATATGCCAAAAATGATCAAAGATGGAATCACTCTCAATGTATATGGACCTGATAGTAATATAGTAAAAACTGCTAAAACAGTGGAAGGAAAGAACAAATTGTCATTCACTGCAAAAACAAGTAATTATTATTGTTATTATTTTAAGTGGGTAGATATAAATTCTGTGTTATTAAACCCAAATAATTTTGGAGTGTTAATGAATATAAATACTCCATTAAAATATAACAAGGTGTAGATCATAATCTTTAAGATGCTGCCAATAAGACTCATGTTGAATCTATTAAAGGTATCATCTATATAGATTTATTTATCTAGATAGAATCTCTGCTTTAAAAAATAGAACTGAAGATTTCATTTCTCTTTAATAATTGAATCGAGAATAAGAAGATAAATTAACAACTTAATCTATTGATATAAGCAGAAGAGTCACTTAAACAACCATTCTATAAATCGTCGTCCTTCTTGCCTCTGGAGTTTATTAGATTTGGAGTCTCAAGAAGTTCTTTAAATAGAGATTCTTGATGTGATGTTTATTTTATTAAAAAATTAGATGCTTTTAAATAAGGGAATTTATAAACATTAATACTGTCTATCCCATCATTCTAATCCAGACCCTATCAAAATCATATTTCATTTTGAAGAATCACAACCCATTTCCCCACTTATCAAAATGCCCTTCCAAAAAATTTAGTGGTTATAAACCAAATTCCCTTCAATCAAAAACAAAAATCAAAATAATCAACCATAAACACAAAAACAAAAAGTTAATTTAAAGAAATATCATTCCAAAATGCCAACTCAAGTTCAATCCACTCCAACCTCTCCATTTACAATCATTTTGAGAACTAATAATCGATCTCCTATTGAATTTGATAACTCCAATACTAAAACAGTACGCTATGAATAATTTCAACACAAATAATACTTAGTAAATAAATATTTAGCTCCAAGAAAGTTAGGCTTGCATAAAGAAGCAAATCTATTTAAATTTGGAATTTATAAATGAAACATTTCATTACCTTTTATTCCACAAATTAATAAATTCAATTCCCATTCATTAGTATGACTTATTTAAATTCATCCTCCAAATAAACTCTGTTAGTAAAATTTAATTTCATGATATTAAATTATTTTTATAATTTTAGATGTTCAAGCACTTTTTAGAGTCTGTAATAATTTCAATAGTTTAATAATTTTCTTATTCTTTCTTCCAATACTTTTTAATACACTATTGATAACTATTTAAATTACACACATTGATTTTTTTAATTATTATATTTATTTCAGATTTTAAAAAGTGTATAGCTAGTTATCTATTTGTTATATAACAATAAATAATAAGGTCCTTTTGTAAAATTCAATAGTTTAATCTTCAATGAAGATTGTTTTAGAACATCAACTAATTTATTTTTTTAGTTTAGATATCCACTTGTATATCAATTTATCTATGATAAAATGAATTTCCCTTTTAGTAATACTATAGAATTGATTTTCCAACATAAAAAAAGCATCTTTTATTATAATATTTTGTTATTTGCATAGATAAAAGATCTTATTTTTAGATGAAGGAGAATTTTCTGAAGATTTCAACTATGAATCAACTTGAATTCATTTTATTGCTTTAAATAGAATTAAAATATTTTTAAAATTAAAAGAGAAGATAGTATAATAATAAAAACAGAAAAATAAAATTAATTTTATTTATTAAAAAATACAGGATATATAATGAAATATAAAATTAGATTATTATGTTTTTGATTGTTTAATATTGTTTTAAAAAATGCAAATAAAATCATATGATTAATATTGACAAAAGGTTTAAACATTAAATAGAATACCAAGAAAATCTATGAAAAAGAAAAAGAAATTAAAGTATTAATAAATAAGTAAAATATACAATTCATCAAGGTGATGGAAAGAATTGAAAGATTTAACTATGTGGAGTAAATGAATTAGTAATAGAATGGAAAACAAGTTTAGATTGATAAATATTATATATATATAAATAATATTAAGATAATATTTTAATGGGAACTTGTAAAAGTTGCGAAACTCCTTAAGAAGATAAGAATTTACATGCATTGCCTAGTGATTCA